AATATTGTACGTACTTTACATATTTAGGTGTAACGTTATCTTCTAACGGATGTTTTTTCAAGCTCAGAAATCATTATCACAACAAGCACAAAGAGGCATTGTATTCTCTTAATTCATTATTCGATGTTGTATCTTTTAATATTTCTGAAAAGATTAAACTCTTTGATTCGATGGTTTTGCTCTATTTTGAATTATGGTTGTGAAGTGTGGGGTTTTCATAAGGCACCAGATATTGAAAAGGTTCACACATGAAATTTTTAAAACAAACTTTACAAGTACGAACACAAACATCAAATGTTACATTATATGGTGAATTTGGAAGACTTCCACTATATTTTATGCGTAAGATAAGAATGATTAAATATTGGTTTAAGATAATGTCAAACACAGATTCTCTTATGTATAAAGTATTTATGAAGCATGATTTTTAATGGTAATCCAGTAAATAAATGGTCTAAAAATGTTAAGAACATTCTAGATGAAACAGGTTTTTCCTACCTATGGAATAATTCATTTGTAACAAATTTACAGATTCAATGTGTTATTAGATCAATCTATGATCAGTATATTCAACAGTTTTATTCTGAACTTCGTAACTCACCAAAACTAGAAACATATTGTTTAATAAAAACAGATTTTTGTACAGAGAAATATTTTTCAAGTATCACTAATACAAATCACAGAATTGCATTATCTAGGCTAAGATGTTCCGCTCACAATCTACTTATTGAAGAGGGAAGGCATAGAAATATTGACAGAAGACTTAGAATATGTACAAAATGTAATATGAGTAGTATTGAAAACGAATATCATTTTTTACTAGTTTGCCCTTTTTATAGAGAAATAAGAAACGCATGTTTGCCGAAATATTATTGTCATTGGCCTAATTTGAACAAATTTAAAACTTTATTATCTAGTACTCAGAGTAGCATTTTAAACAAAACCTCAAAGATATATATATTTAGCTAATGTTAAAAGAAATATGTAATGACCATACTGCATTTTTTCATCATTTTTTAAAATGAGTTTGTAATTATTGTTATAGCTTGTTAACAACTTCCTGCATTGTGTTGATATTGTAAAATAATACAAAAGAATTAAATAACTTAAAGACTAATGTCATTTATTGACTAATCAATTATTAAATGTATGTATTATCTACAAATGTATTGTATTATCTACAACTGTAACTTTATAATAACATACTTTTCTCAATTGTACATTATATCCGCCATACAGTTGTGTATTGGCGATGAACATTGTATATGTTTATGCCAAATAAATATTGAAATTGAAATTGAAATTATATGACAGATTTTTTAACCAAGCTATCCTTTACATTGATTTTATTTGAATTTTAACTCCCAGTGGCAGATTAATCAATCAGTGTATTTGATTGAACATTGAGTGATAAAAGGCAGCACTGTCCATGCGGCCACCAAGATTAAAGGAGTGGTTTATTGGTTAGGTGATAATTAGATTGTTTGGGCTACAGTTGAGTGCATTTTGATTTTCACACTTTTAAGTTTTCTTTTGGTTTGGTTATTATCAATTTTAACTTAATATACAATTAAATAAATATTAAAATAAATATTAGGTTAACTAGATCTATTACAGTACCTAAATTTTTTTTTTTTTTATTTTGTACCAATGTGAAATAGTGTTTAAAATTTTTCAATTTTTTATATATCATATCACTACAATATTACTGTATTATAAACTTTGTTCTTAAACATAATGATGATATGATGAAATTATTTCTTGTATTTGAAATTACATTTATTGTAAATTTTATGATGCATTTTATTTGAAATGACATTTATTGTAATTTTTGTAATGCATTATATTTGAAATGGCATTTAACCTTTGAAACAAAACCAATATTCAAACACTATTTAGGGTGTTGTTTACAATCTTGTTGATATTACATTTCATTGATGAAATAGATTAAAAAAAATTTGATTCCGTTATAAATTAAATGTCTTCAACAACCGTTACTTCAGGTATACATTTGTACTTTTATAATTTTCAGTCAGCAGACCATTCCACAAACTGAAATAGCATTTCTATTAATTGTTATTTGTCAATGACTGTTCATGGACGGTACTGTCAAGTGCAAACTACTGTCCACGCCCCCTAGCACCGGCTTAAACAGTATTCAACATTTAAACATGTAATGGTAAAATTTTGAATTTAGATCAATCCGCATATGTGTTCATACGGCGGTTATCATGGAACCTTCAATGTGACACGTTAGTGCTATTCCATGAAAAGCGCCGTATGGTTCCCGAGTAAAGCCCTGCACGAGTTCGCAAGTAAAGCCCTACACGAGAAAACAACAAAATGGAATTTTGAAAGGGGATCAGAGGTTATGAAGCCTGCATATATCAGATAAGCGGTCAAAAGACAAATTTAAAAAGCAGGCAACATATCCTAAGGGTGATTATACAGTAATTATAAGTAAGGAATACTGGAACCACCAATGTAGAAAAGCCCAAATTGAAAGAACTAAAATACCACAATGATGTCGTATTGCATGATCTTTAAGGATCGGAAATAAAACATCCCTGATTGTATGTACGGCGACTTTTTAGCCTCCACACGGCACAAACCACGCTGATGTGGCGATAAAAAAAGAGAGAAATAGAATCCCTAAAGAAATGTCCAACACGGCAAAATTTAAAATGTTGCAGGCTCGGTTTCATTGAGCCTGTTCATGGGCGGTCGGTACTGTCAAGTGCAAGCTATGCAGTATTCAACATTATATAATGGTAAAATTTTGAATTTTAAAGATCCATCCGCAGATGTGTTCCTACGGCGGTTATCATTGAACTTTTAATGTGACACGTTAGTGCCATTCCATGAAAAGCGCCGTATGATCCCCAAGTAAAAAAATGATTGTGTCCTAAACGAGAAAATGGGCGGAACTAAGTAAAATGGAATTTTGAAGGAAATTTCTATAGCAATTAACAAACGATATCCATTGCAAACATTGACTTTTTACATAGAAACCAGTGGCTGTCATAACAAACATTACCTGTCCATAGGTGCGATTGAATCTACCATTGAATTTCATAGTTCAAGCACAGACTTCCAAGGAAACCATTGATTTTGTAAAGCAACCAACGACTTCTATAGCAACTATTGTGTTTCCCTTGGCAATAGCAACCAGGAATGTATTTACATCGCACTATTTCAGATACAAATATGTACTTTGTAGTATCAGTTTAAGATTTAGATTTTGTATCTGCTTTCGTTTATAGTATACATGATTACTTGTTCCTTGTGATTAAGAATATAAATTTATATTCACGTGAGCGATATAAGGGTCATCATGGCCCTCTTGTTTCTTGCACTGTAAAAATAATAGTGTTGTATATGCTGGCAATAATAGCGTTACTTATACGTACTCGTCGCTTGGGCAGCAATATTTACATGTACTTTGCCAATACAAGGTGCAGCTCCAGTACCTCCTGAAGGGTCACACTGTACCAAGTTAGTCATTGTCAAGCATCCATCTCTGGTACACAAGATGACTTATCGCACCTTCTCAGCCCTTTCTTTCAAACTTTGGATATTATTATAGACAAAACGTTACGATTGTAGGATGACGACCTGCTATGTGTATTCCCCGCGACATGCACACCTCTTGCTAATTTATAATAATAAAATGCAAATAATGATAAATATGCAAAAAATCTGTAAATAAAAATGGTATAAGTTACATTAGTTGAGCGTTCATTAAAAGTCATATCCGTGGTGGTCATAAATACCAGAAATGACTTTTTATTTTCAAACTTATCGTTTGATAATTTATAATGTTTAAATAATAATGCATGCAAAAAATCGTTAAAATTAACCCATAAATAAAAATGTTCTAAGTTATATTTGTTGAGCGTTTGAAGAAAATGTCACAAAACGGACTCAAAACAGAAAGTTTTTATGAAATCTCAACTCAGAACAATGCTTAACATTCAAAGAAACCTTTAAGCATTTCTTTAGATTTAGCTTCAAAGATAGAAATCGGCGGTTAAAATTCCACTCGAGCTTCATATGTCTGAAGAGATCCATAGGTGCATGCTATCAAAAGTCATCTACATGATTTCGTATCACGTACTACTTAAAACATTCGACCTATTACGCTTTGACTGTTTGATATTCTTTTTATCAATAAGTTTAAGTGCTCTTAATTAATTTTGTTATGACGCTGTTGATATTCAAGTTTTTTCTATAAATACATGATTTATTTTCATCAAGTGGTATGAAAATAAATATTTCATGAGTGGCGGTAGCCACGAGTGAAATATGGTAATTTTCATGCCACAAGATGAAAATAAATCATGTATTTATAAAAAAAAACTTGACTTTTCTGTTTATTATATATATTTTCTCTTTTTTGACATTGAAATTTGAAAGACTTTCCCTTAAATTTTGTGTACTGGCAGAATTTAAAAGGAAGTAGTCTGGCAAGACACAAGCGAAAATACGGAAAATATGTTTCACTGCAGTGAAAAATAACTTTTTACAGTGAAAATACGGAAAATGAAAATAAGCATTTTATTTCATCAATATTTCTCAATATTTCATTTATAAGTATATAATAAATGTAGTTTATCCCCGCTGTGTTATGTCACAATTATAAACTTATAGTATAATGTATATGCATACGTACGTACGTACAATCACGTCTTGCGTGCATGTGTGCGCGTGTGGGTATGCGTGTGTGTGTGTGCGTGCGTTGGTGCGTGCGTGCGTGCGTGCATGCATGCATGCATGCATGCATGTATGTATGTATGTATGTATGTATGTATGTATGTATGTATGTATGTATGTATGTATGTATGTATGTATGTATGTATGTATGTATATTGTCTGGTCTTTTCTGATTGAGTTTCTGTTGTTTAGATTTTATAAAAAGAAAATATAAAATATATGTGCATGTATTGAAATATGCCGAGTCATATTCGGTTTCTTCTGTCCACCAAACACCATAATATTTAGTGGTATGATGTCTAAATTTGCTTTTTTTTGTACAGGGGACACATCTTACAAGACACTGTGTAGCACACCACAGTAATGGTAAAGTAGCCAGCTTCTCGAATATGGCCAGGGAGGATTTTCTTGCGATTATTAGTGAAATATATCTGGATTCTAAATGACTGGTTGTCTTTAAAATGCATTTTCAGCATAAAATTTGTTTTCTGTCGACATCTAATATGATCAACTGGCAAATTCGAAAACATGGCCAGAAATCACATGCTGTTGATTATGAATGTCAAGGCCGGCCATTTTTTGTAAACATTGCTTTTATACAGCTATTGCACGGTAAAAAAAGAAGTCATTTTACAGGGGAGTTACAAACTTTTAGCAGTAGCAAAAAATCTACCTGGTTGAGGACTAGTTTCTTTTTGTGATATTTTGCATGTATAGGGAGTTGCCTAAAGCAGAGACGGTGTTCCTTTAGCCTGTATATTTGCAGATATTTTTTGCCAGAGGGTCGAAATGTGTTGTTTTGGGTCTCGGGCCACTGTAGACTTTGGGCTTCAACGGAATGAATTGCAAATTTTTTGACTGCCTGCCTATTGCAGATGGGATAATTTCTTTGTAGATTTGCAATCTTATGTCATATATGTTCTCAACAAAATGTGTTTTCTTTTTCCAGGTTGTGTAGTTTGGTATCAGAATTATTAGACGTATTGCTTGTAGGACATTGACGGCAGGAACTTGAAATTAACTGTGGAGTGCTACCCTGGGTGGATATTTAAATTTTTTTTTTTTGCTGTTTCTAGCTTTTAAAAACAAGGTGATTTGTAAAAATGTTTGAAAATGAGTACTTGGTTTATAAAACCTAATGTTGGGTTTAAACTTTATAATTATGCACTATTATGAAACACCAATTTTGTACGTTTACATGTTTTCGCTATATACGCGGATAAAACAAATTTCGGCTATTTAGCTGTGTGAACACCACTAAATGTTTCCATTAATTTAATTTATAAGGGATTTTTTCCAGGATTTTGGGAACATGACCCATACCCATGGAATTGAAAATTTTAGCGGTGTTTTGTTAAAAATTGGAAAAAATGTATGACTGAAATTTTGCAGTTATAAAATGGATGCAAACAATTACTGTCTATGATGGCATCTTCAAACATTTAAGCACTATTTAATACAGTAAAGAAGCCTTTATTTGCAAAGATTACTTTGTTTTTGTTCAATATTTTTAATTTGTAACTTTCAATTGGGAATTTTTTCCTGTGGATTGGGAAAATAATATACCAGACTTCCTGAAAGTTGAAAAAAAAATGTCAGACATTCGGTCTGACAAACCATGAAAATCTGTCGGACCGAAACGAAATCTGTCAGACCAAATAAAATTGATCAAAATCAAAGAAAAACTTGTGTTGGTATTTCAAAGACACTTTTTGGTTTTAATTTTTTTCGCCGTAAATATCGGCACATTCCATACAGCGCATTTTCAACTCCTCCCTGTCATACACCAACGATTCATGGTCCTGCTTCCATTTTTCATTAAATTTTGTTTCAGGTCTATTCTTTTCATCCTTTTATTGCTGTTCTGTGCGCTCCTTTGATGTAGATTTTCGATTATTCCCAGGTTTGGCACCTTTAGCGACGCCATTTTGTATACATGCGGCTTATACTATTTTCAATTGGGAATATGACCCAATAACGGCTATAAAATAAGCCAAAAAAAATCCCTGTAATAATAAGTTAACTTCTAGTTTGATATAACAGCCTGATTTCCATTATTCCATGTCCAGCTACCATTTTATCTATATCTACATGGTCTTGACCTGAGTATATTAAATAACCTTATTATATCCTCAAGGTACTTTATATTGGGAGGTACCAGGAATGTCTAGTCAAAATATATTGACGTGCCAAAGCTTGATTCTGAGATATTTTCGTTCTAGGGCAGAATCTCGCTTTTTTAATTAGAGCACAATAGCACAATATCTCGTCATGCTGTACAACTACAGGAATGTCCAGATATTACAAATTATACTTACACAGGAAACTTCTTTTGTATGCAAGTGATTTTCACATTAATTTCATACGAAATATGGCATATTTTGAATAAAATTAAAAGTTTTGATAACGCTATTCACATAATTGTTTTTATGCATAAAAACCAGCAGTATTGCTAATGATTTGGACCCAACAAGACATTTTGAATGTGTGTGCAAATGCTTATTAAATGTTTACCCTTTTACTTTGTGATAATTGATAAATATTGAATCATTAACAGTAATGGACCATTTACATATGTTTTTAACTTTTTTTTGATTGTATAAAAGTCTTTCCTGGTGTTAACTATTAAGTTCTTAAAAACAAATATGGCTGCAACTTATATGGATAATTTATCAATACACTTTACTTTTTCTTTTTTAGATCAACATGAAGTTGAAAACATCTATAGCGTTTCATTCATTTGAATTAGCTTATCTGGTGGTCTTGGCGATTCTTCCATTCATTGCAGCCATAAAAATTGTTGCTACTATCCTTGTTAGTTTCCTGCTGTTATGTAGTCTGTTGGCATTAATCAAGAAGTTGACAAAAAGATGCATCAGCATGAATGGGCAGACAGTGGTTATCTCAGGATGTGATACAGGTTATCTTTCTCTCACTTTAGTTTATTTATCACAAACCAGTGCTGCTTTTGCGACTCCATATTAACTAGTGATGTTCTGATTGTCGCAAGTCGCCGATAATCAGTTACTTTTATGTAAAGGGACAATAATCGATTCACAAAAATTTGTTCTATGACGTCGTCGAAAATGTTAAAAGTATCAAAGGGAATTAATTCTGACAGTAATATTCATTTAGGAACACCTCGCCGATAAAAAAATCATTTCAGAGACAATTTGGAGTTGAATAGGATCAATATGTGATGTAAACAATGGTAATATAATGTGATGTGAATGTTATTATTTGACATCCATTGAAAAATAAAATCTATGTCGTAAAATTATGACTATATAAGGTTAAAACTGTGTTGAAAAGTGCTAAAAGAAGTTCATGTTGCTGAATATAATCAACTGCCTTGGGAAGAAATGTTATGTCATACTTCTTTTTAATGCGACTTTATTTGAAAAGTTATCGATTATGTCCCATCCGATTGAACAATTTCAACCGATTTCCATCACTAGTATTAACGGTAGGCACGTCATTATAAAAACAAAAAAAAAAGGATTATTTTCACTGTAAATAATTCTAATATTAGTTATGTGACAAATAGAATATTATTTTCATGTAGATTCAATACTTGATTTATCAATCTCGTTGTATAAAATAATATTATGCTCGCTAGAGGCTCGCATAATATAATATGCACAACTGGTAGTATGATTATTTTTTGTTTAAGAAATTTATAAATGAACCTGTACTATAGTACATTTTAGTTGTTGAGATATGGGCAGGGCTCAAATAGAAAAATTAATTAAATTAATTTAATCATAAATAAAAATATATAAATAATTTTATCATTTTTTTAATTTTTTTTTGAAATTGTGATTGTATAATACATTGTAATGTTGATAAAAATAGTCAACTGAAGCAACAGAAAAGAAACAACAGAGCTTTTATGTGAAGAAAAGATTGAAAGAATTATTACAAGAGGCTCTCACAATGTCAATTTTACATTAATTATTTTTTTATTGCTGTTGTTGATAACTTTATTTTCAATTTAACTCTTTATTTACATTCTGTATAATTTCTGAAGCCATTCTATATTACGTAGAGGCGTTCATGGCAGAGTGGTTAAGGTTGTTGACTTCAAAGCACTTGCCTCTCACTGCCGTTCAAGCCATGCTAGCCTCTTTGGATTATACATGTGAGAAAGCTATCCAGCTAGCTTACTGAATGATGGTGGTTCTACTTGGGTGCCCGTTCAAATTTTACATTCTGTTTTACAGTTCATTTGTAGTTAATGGGCATTATTGACATTCCCTTTGTAAAATCTAGTAAAATCTAGTTTGTCAACAAAAAATGCCATTCCCTTTGAGATAAGTCTACATTGTTTAAGAAAAAATGATTTGACTGTTAATACTAGGAACATTTTGGACAGGTTTTGGTCATGCATTGGTAAAGAGGCTAGACTACTTGGGTTTCACTGTGGTTGCTGGTTGCCTTGACAACAAAGGAGATGGTGCAGAGATTCTACGTAAATGGAGTGACTCTGGCAGAATACATGTTGTACAGCTGGATGTTACAAGTGATCAATCTGTGGCCAGTCTTCATACTTATGTACAGAAACTGTCTCCAGATGGTATGAATAATTATATTGAATGATACATCAGTGCTTTTTTTCCTTCTATAGCATGGGCTTAGCCAAAGAAAAATTATTTAAATTCATGCAGTTTTCCCCCAAATTTGAATTTACATAATGTTTTTTCTCCCCACTTTTGCAAATATACGGTATAATTTTTCCACGAAATTAAGGGTAGGCTGCTTCCCCATCCTGTGAAAAAAAAAATTGAAAAAAAGCTGTTGTTGAAATTATTTTTTTTTAGAAAAATAGAACTAATTTTAAAGTATAGAGGAAAAGATAAGAACCGTATTGCATGATTACCTTATTTCTTTTTACTTTCAGTTACTCTTTTTACTTTCACTTACCTTAATTGTTGATAAAACTCATTTATATGGCAAAGAAATTGACATTTAAGAAAATCATGTTAGTGCTTGTATTACTAAAAACAGTAAACTATATTCTATTATACATCTAAGTTAATTAACTGATATACCTAGTATAAGCTGGAATATAAATCCTCTTTATAAATCCTACACAAAACTAGACTTCATTCTTTTATCCTAGGTGTGTGGGCACTTGTGAACAATGCAGGAGTTAATTTTGTTGGTGATATAGAGTTCAGCACAATGGAGCAGTTCAAGCGTGTAGCAGAAGTTAATCAGTTTGGTGTGATCAGACTCACCAAGGCTATCTTACCTTTGGTGAGAAAATGCAAAGGTAGAAACATAAAATAGTTGAAACATAGTAATTTTACCTCAGTTTTAATAAAAAAAAAAAAATTAAGCATTTTCATCAACTTGTTACTTTTACCTCCTGGTACACATACACAGGGGGGGGGGGCGTCCCTGGCCGCGTGGTTAAGGTCATTGACTTCAAACAACTTGCCCCTCACCCCTGTGGGTTTGAATCCCGACAGGGACTTTGGATTCTTTAATGTGAGGAAGCTATCCAGCTAGCTGGTTCTACTCAGGTGCCTGTTTGTGCCTGAAAAAATGCACGGAGGGACACCTGAGGTCTTCCTCCACCAGTAAAGCTAGAAAAATGACCTATACTGTGTCGGTGTCACGTCAAACCCAAATTAAAAAAAAAACATATACAGAGATACCATTAAAGGAAACATGATTGTCAACTGAACAGGGTTTGAACCCACTATTCCTTTGTTTAAATGCAGACGTTTTAACCATTATCGCAACTCCCTCCTTAGCATAACAAATACACAGTAAGTTATAGAAAAGAATATTTGAAGGATTACGTGTATAACAAAGTTAAGTTGAATAAACATATTATTCGGACATCTTATATTAGACTGAAAAGCAAATTGATAATTTTTGTCAAATCATTCTGAAAAATTTGTGGCACAAAGTTTTTTGGAGATTAATTAATTTACTTTGTGATGTTTTTCACTTTAAACTCTGATAAAAATGGATAAATCATAGGGTAACTTAGAGACTCATGATTGAATTATATCAGAAATATTACAAACATTTGATTATGGAATAATAAGTTAAACCATAGTACTTATAGTACAAATATGAGCCATGTCACGCCAAAACCAACATAATGCGTTTGCGACCAGCATGGATCCAGACCAGCCTGCGCATCCATGCAGTCTGATCAGGATCCATGCTGTTTGCTTACAGATCCTATTACAAGTAAAGAAACTGATAGCGAACAGCATGGATCCTGATCAGACTGCGCGGATCCATGCTGGTCGCAAACCCATTATGTTGGTTTTGTCGTGACGCGGCTCATATTTATTTGATAGGTAGAGTAATCAATGTTACAAGTGCAGAAGGCCGTATATGTTTACCAAGTTATTCTGTGTATGGAAGCACCAAGTATGCTGTAGAATCATTCTCAGACTGTCTGAGGTTGGAGATGAGAAAGTTTGGTGTGGGTGTCATTATCATTGAGCCAGGAGATTATGCTGGAACTACAGGCATGCTTAGTGCCAAATCTGTAAGTGTATGGTATGGTATTGTCATTGCATTTTGAATAAAGTTAATTATAGAATGGTAACTTTTTGTAATAATAGGTGTATTTGAATAGTTAATAAAGGTGTTTATTGGAATCACTGTATATTTTTATAGTAATAACTTCTGCTATGATGGAGGCTAGAAAATCAATTGTGCATACAAAATTGTATAAAGGCTTTTCAGGAACTTGCTGTCTTATTGTTCTAGTGACTGGTCTTGCAAAAAAGTTGACGCTATGTCCTGTGCTATGATAGTCTTAAACTTTACACGTTCATACTTACTTATTTGTGTATTTTCATAATACATACATTTCAATGCATAGATTGAATTGATTATATCTAGACACTGGCATTTTTAGGGAATATTGTAAATTTTGAACAGATAATGAAATTAATCAGTTTATGTATTCTTCAATTTATTGTATAGTTACATAAGTTACGTAAAGAGATGGATACAATGTGGGGAAATGCCTCGGAAGAAGTTAAGTCTGTGTATGGCAAGGATTATTTTGATGCTGTCTACGCGGGCACTGTAGAAGCTGCAAAAAATGCTGCCAAGACAACCGGTTTAGTTATAGACAGTTTGGAGGATGCTGTCACAAATACTCATCCCAGGATACGTTATCTTGTTGATGGATCCTGTAAACTAATTGATGTCAATAATGTAAGTTATTTATAGTTTCATCAATAGCAATTGATAAAGGAAGCTCATATCTTTGTCTCTTGTCACCTTAATATATGCATATGAGGTTATACATTGACTTACGTTATGTACGAGTGCACATGTACCTGGATGTTTATAGACTAAAGTACAGCTATGAAACAAATATAACCACTATTTTACTAGACTAAGTGAAAACTGCTTCTTAGATATAATGTCCCTAATATGATCAATTCCTAGACCATGGCATATTTTGCAGTTTTATATTTATTTTTCCACATGATTGCATTGTATATTGAGAATTAAATATCAAACAAACATGACTTTTAATCAATGTGACATTTTAAATTTGGTTATATGATTTATGTCATTATTGTTTTGTTTCAGTGGTTGGTCAGAATACGTTCTGTAATCCCAGACAGCTGGTTAGATTTTGTTCTGGATTTCAAGTATAATCGACGTCTTCCACCTGTTGCAGAGAAATTATAACATCAAAATCTATGGTGACATGATTCAAAATTGTAATGTCAAAATCTTTTGTGACATGATTCAAAATTGTAACATCAAAATCTACCGTGACATGATTCAACAAGTTCTATACATCAAGTTTTACTATCTATAATTTGCTTTACCATTTACATATGTGCTAATTGAAGTTCGATTTTTTTTTTTTGTTGAATAAATACAGTATTTCTATCCTTGTTGGTAAAAAGATTTAACCATACTCTTTATTTCTATTATTGAATTTAATGTTTATTTATTCAAACTGTTGAAATGGTGTAAACAGGAACTACACATCAAACCATGGCTCAGTTTTATTAAAGATTCTATTGTTTTCGGTGCTATTGTACCTTTATCAGGAATTATTTATTCAGTATAAAAACTTTACATCTTTTCAGGTACTTTTTTGAAATATTTTTAAATGTGTTATAGTCCCATTTCCATCAATATGTTTTATGATTGATGAATTTTGTTATTGTGATAATTTTTATTAAGTAATAACAATGTATACAAAATCTAGTCAAATGAGATAAAAAATTATATACTTAAGTTCAGCTCATATTTACTGAAAGTAAGTATTTTGACAAGTCACACTCACATTTTATATTTTTAGTTCTAGTCTAGTTATCATGTAGTTTATTGCATTGATAAACAAAATTGTATGATTATGCTTTTATTGTACTTCTAAATTGTGCCTTTCGAGGTACTTTAGTGTTATTGTCATTTCAAAAGATAAGAATAAGACATTTGTTCTTATGAATTATTTGTAAATCATTGTCTAAGAAATAAGTTATTGTTATCAGATATTCAATATAATAACCCATAGCCTGCTTGGAGTAACTGGTTCTTCTCATGTGACCAGTGCAGACCGGAATTATCTGGTAAATGCATGCTATCTATCTGGTTTATAATGATTAATACTGTCCCCTTTTAGGTCAATGAATATTTTGATATAATTTTCGCTAAAGATGGTGATTATGTTAGTATTGAAAAGTTAAAGATAGACAAGTCCTATTTAAGATAGTAAGGAGGGCAAGAGTGAACCAGTGAATAGTTTTATACTGTTTTAAATAAAAGGCATCAGATTACAGATTAACATCAAGAAATTGCAATGTCTGAAGTTTTATTTCACTCTGAAGGAAATGTACTGTCCTTTTGCCAAAAGCATTATACATACAATAGAGGACAAGTACAGGTTTCTGCATGACGAGAGAAATTTCAAATGTTGCTTTGTCAAAATTTTGACCATTTCTACTTTATGTTTCTTTGCATGATTCATTAAGAAATTGATAATTTTAGTTATCTGTGATAATGTGTCTTTAAATCAAACTTTATATACAAATATAGTTATCATGAAGCATTATCATCGAAACAGCAGCACTAATTATGAACTCACAGGCTTAATACAAAACATTTGTGAAAATATGTCAGATCATGACATTGTACTTGTATTGTTAAATATTAGGGATGGCAACGAATACCAAAATTAATACTCGAGTACTCGGTCATTTTTCCGATCGAGTACTCGGTTACTCGGACGATTTCCAATGATCTTCAAAGTTTATCACACAATATCAACACCGTCCGCATGCTACTTTCGTTTTCAATTACATTCATAGAATGGACTGCAAAGGAGACAAAGTAATTAAAATTAAATCAACGACATTATACTTTAGAACATTTTAATTAATGCAATATCAAGTTTAAAACATGTTTAGCAGTTGAAACATCTTTTTCTTCTTGTAATAAAATAGACTGATTGGCGGCAACAAAAGTTTAACCGGTTCTAATTATTACCTTAATTTATATTATATCATAATAGCAATACGGCCCTTTCTTGTTTTCAAAAATGTTACCTTAAAACAAGATTCGGGTACAAACTGCATTGTGTTACACAATTAAAGGTAACTAAATATCATAAGAGGCCGGATGACGTAAGCGACACATGTGCGCGTGTCAAACTGTTGATCGCCTCATTAAATTTATGGTATCATTTTCGCACCTCTGCAAGGAAGTCGTGATTGCATTTAACAGGTATTTATGAAGGTATATGCACATCTCCGAATTTTTGAACTAATTGGATACATTAAACTGTCTCAATAGCAAATCAAATAGAAATTATACATTTTTTCCGAGTAATCGAATATCAATTTTGTTAACCGATATTCGGACGTTCGATCGAGTACTCGGTTAACCGGTTACTCGTTGCCATCCCTATTAAATATTCAAGATATGTTAAACATGCATTACAGAGAATTGAATCAAAAGATTGATATAAATTTATCAATTTCAATGTAATTTTTGTTGTATGATGTATTAGTATTACTTTGAATTATGTCCCTTTTCTTTTATTATTTACATTTTGGATTTATTTATTGTATTTATATTGTACTGTGATATTGTTGATAGAGGCAGGAGACAGTAGAGTGACAAATATAAGTTATCCCATGTTGTTATTGCACTAATTGTCTATTACTTCCCCTATTGAAGTACTTGTGATCAATTAACCTATAAATTATGATGTAATTTAATACAATGGTTTGTTCGATTTTTAAATTAAAACATATTAGGTAATCCCTTGTCTTTATGTTTTTTATTACAACAGTAGTTAAGAATCGGTAATACTTAAAATAATTTGATGAAATTATAATGTGAATGAAGTAAATATATTAACTTATAGCACATGGCTCTGGAATGTATTTTTACTTAAAAAAGGATAAAAATTTAGTAAAAGATTAAAAAGAAAATTTTCTATGATTACAACAAAGTAGAAGTTTTAAATAAGTAACACTCATTAGACACCTAGGTGGTTCGTTTTGCATTTATGTTTACAAATGAGTGACTGTTGTCTTGTGATTTTAAGTTTTTGCATGATTTTTGTCTGTGATACTATTGTTGAAGTGTGTATGTATATCTGGTTGTATTTATAAACAATACTGATGATTTTGACAACTCATCAATAACATTGTTAGTTATTTTATAGTTTGTGCTTTAGTACAAAACAGATATTCTCCAGTTCAAAAATAAAGAATTCTGTAGGTTGCTTGAGTAATTAATGTGTTAAGTTTTTCTGTAGATATTAAAGTCAGAATAATCATTTGCTTAAAGTTAATTAAAAATGATAAAAGATATGTATGGACAGTATTTAGATTTGCACCTTTTAACAGTTTTACCGGGATATTGACTGGATTATTTTAATGTTTAGCTTCACATTAGTTTAAGATTTTCTTCAATAGTCTAGGTCACATCTGTCCTGAAACTTTAGCTTGTAAGTCATTTAAAACACTTCAATCATATTGGACAAAAATTCATATCAAACACTTAAGAATTATATTAGTGCCATTTGATTTTAGTATTAAACAGCATTGGAGATACTAAGATTTTTCCCATGACAATATTTCCTCTTTTTCAATGCAACATAACGTTTACCCATCTCTTTATGATATAGATGTTTTTATAAAGTATGACATCATAAATTATGTTTAGTATAAAGTATGGCTAATACCTTATTTGACTTACATGTAGATTATCAGTTTTGAAAAGAAAAATTAACCTTATTACTTGAATTTATTCCTGCCTGCAATCTTGTTGCGATGACATTTGATAAAATGCCAAGGATTCAATCAGTATTAAAATAGTGAAAATTTGTTATTTTTGGCTCCTCCTTTTTGTTTGGAAGATAAAAAATAGACATATTGTAAGTCACTTTGGCGTTGCTGTCAGCAAAATTGTACCTTGATTATAACTGTTAAATTCTTGGTGTATTGTCTTCATACTTGGCCACAACAACCCATGGGACAAGACCTTTTAGTAGATCAGACTAACCTTGACCTTCATTCATAAATGACCTTGAACTTCAAGGTCAAATGTCTAAATTTTGCTTGATTTTTGCCAGAAGTGGCTATAACTTAGTCCAAATTTGAACATAATCTTTTAGGATAGCCCGACAGACCTTTACCTTCACTCATAAGTTTAAACTTAGTAGATACAAGGACTGTGTCCAGTAGATGCTACCTTTTGAATTTGAGGTCAGAAGGTCAAGCAAGGTCTTGGATATATAAATATTCCTACAAGCAGTTTTTTTCCTAAACAGAGCCACCATAAGCTGGGGCCAAACTTTCCCTTGCTTTAAAATAAAAAAAATATTTGAGAGCAGCATTCATTTTTCACGTCAAGATCACGTTTGAATTCATATGAAGGTTTGGTTTTAAATGTTGTTTTGTCGAAGTATAAAACAAGTACACCAAATATTAGGCAAGTGGTAGCAACCTTCATAAAGTAAAGCAAATACCTCAAGACGTGCTAGGGTTCCTTATAGCAAAATGAAAGCTGTATTATAGCATAACAAAAACACTTCATCCATCTTCTGGCAATACCTTCAAGGTCAAACTGAACTCGACCTTTAATTCAACCTTGACATTCATTTTTGAATTTTGCTTAAACTAGCCACAACTGTATTAACTGACAACTGCACCTTGTCAAGATAAAGTATTCTTAGTTTCATGTTAACTTTTAAAATGTTTGAATAATGGGCTGCATTAAAAATTTTGCACTACGGTTCAACTTTACTCCGAAACAGAAAAGCTAAAATCTGAGAGTTTAAATATGACCTTCACTGTAAAGTTACTGAATTGTGCTCAAGTTGTTAAAACTTGCTTATGTTTTGTGTACTATTTGACAAAACAACTTATTGCAAAAGAAATTTGTTGAATTTTAATTGCCATACTTTTTATTCTAAATTCATACTTAAGACAAACACCCATCAACATGTAACAATGTTGAATATTTCAAGATGAACTCGATCTATTTACAACACGTAAACAAGAAAAACTTTAATTCTGACCCAAAACTATTTCATCGAAAATCCTTAGCAATAATGTTATTCATTAGCACTAGATGCAGATGTTAGAACAGAAAACTCCTATAGATATAACTTGGGTTATGAATGCTGCAAGTAACATCATTTTAAAATCTTTCTTTTTTAAAAAAAAAACAAACGAGAACATTAAATTGCATGGATAATTTGATCTCTGCATCCAAGATCCAGTTTTCATTCTTATCAGGCTTCAGATGTGCAAATGAAACAGCCAATTTGGACAAGATGAAAATTTATTTTACAGGCTAAAAATACAACGGATTTAAACAGCATTACAACTTATGATATGGAACACCCATCTGTTAATAATGAAAACCTTAAAGATCAAAGGCAGTATGTATTCATCAAATCTCATTATATCAACCAAATGACTAGGATTCAAGAAAAGCATTTTACCCCATAAAAAAACTGGGCAATTGTAAGTTTTACAAGGACAGGATAAACATTAAAGGGACTCCACTGAGTTTTTTTTTTGACACGATGGGACTGAAAATATTTTTCCTGATAAATTTACTATTTGATAAAAGTTTAGACCACTAATCTATGTGCAAAATTTCAGATCATTCAGAGACTTTGTTTTCCCAGAATAATAATTCAAATTGTAAAAAAATGACCCAAAATGAAAAGCGTTTAAACGCTTTTCACTCAAATCGGGCTCAGAAAAGCATAAAAATATGATTTTCAATTTATTTCAAAGCATCTTTCTCAACTTTCTTTGCATTTCTGTTTAAAATGTTCCAGCTCATTTATGTAAGAAATTCAAATGTTATGTTTTTAGACTTTCAAACCTCAGTGGAGTCCCTTTAATGTCTTGAACAAACATTGTTTTGAACCATTACAAGAAACTTGGGTTTATATTTCAAGAAAAAGAAAAACAACACAAATATTCCCTGGCAGGTTTATTTACATTTTTTTTTTACATTAGAAAAAGAAGCCAAGAATTTTTCCACCGAGATGTTTTCTTCTTGCTTCCTCGTGATCCATGATCCCTCCTGATGTTGTCAATACCAGAAATCTGAAAGTAGATATATCACATCATCTTAAAATTTCTCATTCGTATTACAAATATATCACTGTCACAGTTTCTGACTTGAGAAATGCTCTGAAATAACTTCTTCTAAAGGATGCAAGTCTTGCAATGTTCCCTATATGGTTTGTCTCCCCAGTCACTGTTACATAGTAACTCTGGGAAAGTTATGGAATATACAGGGTCTAGCTTTCCTGGTCATTTCTGACCTGGTTGCCAGTTGCTCTACAATGTTGTGGAAAGGGAATATACCTCCAGTCCTGTAAGGGACATTCAGCTCCCATAAGCCACTTTGACAAAACAGGAGTCTGGGCGAACCAAACATCCTTATATGTCAACATTGATGTTTAAGTCAGTATTTTAATATTCACCAGCAAGTTCTCACAATACATATCTAAATTTGATGTCAAAAACAGAGTTGTTGATTTTGTACTGCATAATGCACCGCACAATCAATTCAAGTACATTTAAATATTATTGATTTTTAAAACAAACCTGTAACTTTTAACATACAAAATACTATAATGATAATAATGGGCTACGAGAAGGATGTACTATAATTATGCAGCTTTCAAAAACTTTAAATCTTAACATGTTTAATACTTTTCAAAACAATTTTTGATATGTAAACAAGTTTTGTTCCCTATATGGTTTGTCTCCCCAGTCACTGTTACATAGTAACTCTGGGAATGTTATGGAATATACAGGGTCTAGCTTGCCTGGTCATTTCTGACCCGGTTGCCAGTTTCTCTACAATGTTGTGGAAAGGGAATATACCTCCAGTCCTGTATGGGACATTCAGCTCCCATAAGCCACTTTGACAAATGAGGAGTCTGGGCGAACCAAACATCCTTGTATGTCAACATTGATGTTTTAGTCAGTATTTTAATATTCACCAGCAAGTTCAGTATTCTAAACAATACATATCTAAATTTGATGTCAAAAATAGAGTTATTTTGTACTGCAAAATGCACAGCACAATCAAGTACCTTTAAATATTGTTGATTTCTACCTAACAAAACAAACCTGTAACTTTCAATATACAAAATACTATAATGATAATAATGGGCTACTAGAAAGGATGTACTATATGCAGCTTTCAAAAACTTTAAATCTTAACATATTTAATACTTTGCAAAACAATTTTTGAAATGTAACAAGTTTTGTTCCCTATATGGTTTGTCTTCCCAGTCACTGTTACATAGTAACTCTGGGAAAGTTATGGAATATACAGGGTCTAGCTTGCCTGGTCATTTCTGACCTGGCTGCCAGTTTCTCTACAATGTTGTGGAAAGGGAATATACCTCCAGTCCTGTAAGGAACATTCAGCTCCCATAAGCCACTTTGACAAAACAGGAGTCTGGGCGAACCAAACATCCATATATGTCAACATTGACAGTTTGATATGTTTTTTTAAAAATAAAATCAATATAGACACAAAGAAAACTACAAAACAATAAACAGGGTGTTCACAAGCCATGAACACCCGAGGGTCATTTAGACTAAGTTTTACCAACTATCAGGCCAAATCCTATAATTTTAACAAAATTTGACCCTCCAGTTAAAATCCTGAAACCTCAGTCAAATAAGGTCTTTTGGAAATTTGAAGGGTCAGTCATTTCAGGGGTCAAATGGACACCCTGAATATTTGATGTTAACAAGTTTTGTTCCCTATATGGTTTGTCTCCCCAGTCAGTGTTACATAGTAACTCTGGGAAAGTTATGGAATATACAGGGTCTAGCTTTCCTGGACATTTCTGACCTGGTTGCCAGTTGTTCTACAATGTTGTGGAAAGGGAATATATAATACCTCCAGTCCTGTATGGGACATTCAGCTCCCATAAGCCACTTTGACAAATGAGGAGTCTGGGCGAACCAAACATCCTTGTATGTCAACATTGATGTTTTAGTCAGTACCGGTATTTCAGTTTTATTTACCAACAGTTCCATATTTCTCACAATAAATATTCAAATTTAGTGGCAAAAGAAAACTGGTTAATTTCTGCTGCATCAGTCTTTTTTTTTTTTTAATTTATGGTGCATGTGTTTTACATTGCACCGACACAGTATAAGTCATATGGCAGCTTTTCAGTTTCACTGGCAGAGGAAGATCTAGGATGCCCACCCGTGCATTAGTTCAGGAAAAAACTTGTACCCCGAGTAGATCCAGTAACATTTTGAGTACTAGATGGATAGCTTCCACATTTTAGGAAACCAAAGTCCCTCTTGGAATTCAAACCCACAGCAGTGAGGGGCAAGTGGTTTGAACTCAACAACCTTAACCACTTAGCCACAGTCTACTATACTTGAAGATTGTAAATTTCTGCCAAGCAAATTTCAACTTTCTACATATAAAAATATCATAATAGGTTAGGAGAAAGATATATGATTTCAAGCTTTGAACATTTTTTGATCTTCCATGTTTAATAGCTTTCAAAAAAACTCTAAATCTTAAGATGTTTAATAATACTTTTAAAACAATATTTTATATGTAAACATTTTTTGTTTCCTATATGGTTTGTCTCCCCAGTCACTGTTACATAGTAACTCTGGGAAAGTTATGGAATATACAGGGTCTAGCTTTCCTGGTCATTTCTGACCTGGTTGCCAGTTGCTCTACAATGTTGTGGAAAGGGAATATACCTCCAGTCCTGTAAGGGACATTCAGCTCCCATAAGCCACTTTGACAAACAAGGAGTCTGGGCGAACCAAACATCCTTATATGTCAACATTGATTACATTTTAGTACGTACTAGCAATTTCATTGTTTATGATAAATTTCTAAATATACAGTAAAACTAGATTTGGTTAACCTGTGTCATCCATGGTCTACATTAAAGCCTACAGCAACACATAAAATTGATGTTTTACATAATCATTAATGTACAATTCTTAAGTTCAATCTCTTCAGTAGTTTTGAAGATACCAACTTACACCAAAGTATGACATTGTTCAAAATAGCTTTCCCTATTCTTTGAATAGTCCAGCTAAGAAATACAATTATCTATGAGAGGTGAAACTGTTACAAATATTCTTTATACAGGTATACTCCAAGTCATGAAAAGCTATTGAATATAGGTTAAATTACTGACTATAAAATAAAATCCGACACCAGAAAAAAAGAAATAATTACCCAAATTGTCTGGATGGCAATAGATTTGTGGTCCATTTCTCCATATCTCTCATGGCAATGTCAAACCTAGGACTGATTACACCACACTGAAATCAAAACCAAATCAAACTTAAACACTTATCACTGACGCTTTTATTGCACCACAAGAGTGCACATGTGCCTCTAGTAATGTCAAACAACAACTGTGTCAAGGAATTCATTCTTTGGCTTTCTTGTCGACAGCATCATGCTGCTTGCAAGCAGGCACTTGAAAGTTCAAATCCCATGTTGGGCAGGACTAATGATACATTAGCAACTTTGTGTTATTTATTTGAATAATATTGCAAGAAACATACTGCAAGAAACATTAAAAGTTAATTATATACTGGAATTTTATCTTTTATAACTTTTTTTTTTATTTCATTGTTAAACCACTTTGTTTCTTTACATAGCCATTATAAATCAATATGGCAATGCCATACAGAATGACTTACCTGGTATGTAACAAGAACATTTATTTTGCAAAGTTCAGCCATGTTTTTTCTAAGTATCTTTGCTGTTACACAACCAATTTTGATGCGAACACAGAGTACTCTTGTTTGCTATCCAGAGTTTATGAGATGATTTGATTACCAATTACTTTTCATTAAGGTTGATTTTAATAAAACTACTATGCCATTTGTAACAAATTCAGTCACTTTTTTTCTTACTGTTTTACGTAAATTTATATGATAAATAATATGTATATACTTAAGATAAAGTAACAATATAGTAAACTGCTGTTTTGGCGCCTTTTCTTTAAGTTATTTTGGTAAAAGTTGGGAACATGCTGTTTTTTAACAGCAATCATGGAGCAGCCTCATCCCCACCCCATTTTCTTGCCAAGGGTAGGACATGTCATTCTTAAAATACTTTTTTTTCCAAAATAGAATAGGTTTTCAGCATGTTTCCTACAAGACATAACGCTGTTAGATATTTCTATTCCATAGTTATGGAAAACAAATTTGTGTCAAAAACCAGTAAGCCCACAATTCAATTTTTAAAATGTAACAGTTACCAGCAGTTCTCTTTAATAACAGGACTGATTATGGCCCTGCTTAAATAACAACTCTGCCATGAGGAAACCAGTTTAACAAAGACTTATATAGTGAAACATTTACCAACATGATATGTAAACATGTGGCAGTTTTCAAGCTTCATCCTACACAATGTGAACAGTTTAGGGTGTTGTAAACATTTCGATGTTAGATAACCTTGAACTTGACCCAATGACCTATTTTAAAGTTACAACTCTCAAATCTGAGAAAGTAGACTGTACTTTTGAATGTGGTATTGACCTCTAGACATTGATATACCTGTGACCTGCCTTTTTAACAAATTGCCATAATGCTCAAAGTTTAAACACAGACACACTTGTATTTGAAATAAACATTTGAACTTAAATGTCCTCAAACATGATTCATTACCCTATTTTTTGAAATCAGAACAGAAAATTACAGTAAGAGGGTCATGTATCAAGAAATCAGTGAAGCAGAGGTATGGTTTAACAAGTCTCCAAAACATGGATGGGTGAGGGATGAACATAAAAGATTCTCCGCATAAAAAATATCTTCAAATAAGGCTAGGAAAGTCAAATGAATAATGTGTGACTAAGGTTGAAAAAAAAATCTTCGATAGAATCTCCTAGGATGTTATGGAATTTCAATAAATAAAGAGCACTGAATTTCATTTACAAAGTCAAATTATGAAAATCTATTTGTATTCAACTTGCAAATGGTTGGATTTTATTTGTTTAATTCCTTTCAATATTCAGTTGTCAGAAGAGCACTTATTTTGGTCAATGGTGTAACTTATCAACATTGAAAATTGACAATCATGCCATTTGGAAAAAAGTTTGTTTTCATTTTGAAAAGTATAGAAAGGGGGGGGGGGGGATATCTTAGATGAATGTACTGGTATATAATGAAAAAAATAGCATTTTTTTTTTTTTTGGTTAATCACATATTTTTTTATAAAACAGGGTGTAAAACAACAAAATTTGTTAGAAATTCCTTGTTTTAAGTAGCCAGTACAATCCAGTACATCCATTCATGTCGGTCAAAGGAGTGAATGAAACTGACCCCCATATAACCAGTTATTTTGATATACTGTGGGTAGATAATACAAATTAAGGCACTCAAGATAAAAAAATGTTACTCAAATGATCTCATTAAACTGTGGATAGCAAATAGCAGTACTCTGTGTTTTATCTTATCGAAATTGGTTGTATAACAGTAGATACTTAGAAAAAAACATACCTGAACCAAGCGAAAAATGTGTTTGTTCCATACCAGATAAGTCACATGGTATGACCATGTTGAAATTCTAGTAGGTGGCACTAGGTCATGCATCCTGAAAATAATAGTTAACAATCTTATTTGTATTCATCTAAGTTTTTTTTCAATGAACATACAAAACTTATTTTATACTGCTGTTAATTCACAACAGAATAATCATTTCTTTCAGGAAACAGAACTGTTATAAATACACAATTTTAGGTTAGGAGGCTAACAATTAATTACAATGTCATTGCTTCAAAATGGCAACAGACATGACAAAGTCAACAACACTAAAGTCTCGATATCAACTACAATTGTATGCATGCTTTTGACAGAAAATTAAATAATGAGAAATTTACAAGCATGGATATGATTATTAAGTCTCTACCTTGTTCAGTCTGCCAGTGAGATTGACAACAATTTTGCCATTTCTGTGATCGTCTACGATCTCAAATTCTCCAATGTAACCTGCAACAGAACAAGATATATATTGTTAGAAGATGTTATTTAAAATTACCCCTTTTGCAAGTCAATCAACAAATACAATAAAATCTACTTAATGACATATTTTCAAGGCCTACAATACATTGGACTGATTGTTCCAAATTTGACATGTCATACTCATAGTTGCGTACATTAATCAATACAAATACACATGAATACTACAATTATAAATTATTAAAAACTTTTGTTCCCTATATGGTTTGTCTCCCCAGTCACTGTTACATAGTAACTCTGGGAATGTTATGGAATATACAGGGTCTAGCTTTCCTGGTCATTTCTGACCCGGTTGCCAGTTGCTCTACAATGCTGTGGAAAGGGAATATACCTCCAGTCCTGTGATGGACATTCAGCTCCCATATGCCACTTTGACAAACGAGGAGTCTGGGCGAACCAAACATCCTTAGATGTCAACATTGATGTTTTAATCAGCATTTCAATACGAAGAGTTCAATATTTCTTACAATAAATATTCAAACTTAAAGGGACTTCACTGAAGTTTTTTGACATGATGGGAAATATTTTTTCCAGATAAAGGTACCATTTGATGTAGGCTAAGCCCACTTATTTTTGTGCAAAATTTCAGATCATTCGCAGAATAATTATTCAAATTGAAAAAATATAACCCAAACGCTTTTTCACTCAAATCAGGTAAAGAAAAGCATAAAAATATGTTTTTCAATTTATTTCAAGTATAATTATTTCTTAATTATTTTTATGTAAAAAAAAAATGTTATGTTTTTAGGCAAACCTCAGTGGAGTCGCTTTAATGGCAAAAGAAAATTTGATTTATTTGCCCTGCATCATACAGTCTTTTTGCTAGGATTTTTACGTCACACCTACACAGTATAGGACACATGGGGTCTTTTCAGCTACACTGGGGAGGAAGACCCCCAATGCCCCTGCATGCATTATTTGAGGTTCAAACTGGACTGGAGTAGAACCAAATGCTAGCTGGATAGCATATTCACATGAAAGAATCCAAAGTCCCTGTAGGGATTCGAACCTACGGCAGTGAAGGGAAAGTGGTTTAAAGTAAACGACCTTAACCACTCGGTCAAAGCCAAATGTAAATTTTTACCAACTTTCAACATAATCAAAAATACCATAACTGGCTAGGAGAAAAATCAATGATTTCAACTGTTGAATATCTTTTTTTCTTCCATGTTTGATACTTTGCAAAGTAATTTTTGATATGTAACAAGTTTTGTTCCCTATATGGTTTGTCTCCCCAGTCACTGTTACATAGTAACTCTGGGAATGTTATGGAATATACAGGGTCTAGCTTTCCTGGTCATTTCTGACCTGGTTGCCAGTTGCTCTACAATGTTGTGGAAAGGGAATATACCTCCAGTCCTGTAAGGGACATTCAGCTCCCATAAGCCACTTTGACAAACAAGGAGTCTGGGCGAACCAAACATCCTGTATGTCAACATTGATAGTTTGATGTTTTTAAAAATAAATTCAATATAGACTAAATTCAATGCAGAAGAAAAACAATTGCTTTCAATTACAACCCATTCATAATTTACGGAAAAAATTGTTGGGATCAGTAACTAATTGTGACAGCAAGCAGGTCGGAAAGACCACCAATCCTTCAAAAAATAAATGATCAAACCCTAGTATTAGGCCTTGTAAAAATTTGGGATTAACATACCAGAAAAAGAAAGCACTTTGAAAATTTAGCTATAAAATTATTCTAACATGCATAATATCAACAAAACTGGTTTACAATGTTTACTGCCCAAAATGTTTTTTTCAACAATATATATAAACATTCAACATTAAATATAATGTAAAGTTTTACACCTACCATGTTTCATCATCACTGTAAGGAACTTAATTATAACTTTTGAGCATGGTCTGATGAGAACTTGTCTCTTGCCACGCCTCTCAGCGGTCGCTATGGTTTTCAAGGCATCTGCCAGCACATTCATGCGAACCATCTTGGTCGCTAAAAATAGATTAAAGAAAGGATAAAAGGGCCTTTTAGGAACGACTAATGTTCATCCAATACTGAACATACAATGTAACATTAACAGTGATTTTCCTACATGTATAACAGACTCTGAAACAAGAGGACCATGATGGCCAGAGCAGCTCACCAGAAACAAGTGCTTTTTACAGGGATTTTTTTTGGCTTATTTTATAGCCGTTATTGGGTCATATTCCCAATTGAAAATAGTATATTATTTTCCCAATCCACAGCAAAAAATTCCCAATTGATAGTTACAAAATAAAAATATTGAATAAAAATTCTAAAATCTTTGCAAATAAGGGCTTCTTCACTGTTAGAGTGCTTAAATGGTTGAAGATGCCATCATAGACAGTAATTTGTTTGCATCCATTTAATCACTGCAAAATTTCCGTCAATGCATTTTTTCCCAATCTTTAACAAAACACCGCTGAAGTTCCCAATTCCATGGGTAATGGTCATGTTCCCAAAATCCTGGAAAAAATCCCTGTTTTAGTGTTAATATTTTCTAATATTAAATTTGAGCATAGAATATCTTTAAACAACTAGAAAGGAGTCCACAGGACACGGGTGCCCCCACATGCCACTGTTCTGTCAATCTTATGACTCCAGGTCAAATATTTTTTGGACTACATGTGCCACAAGTTGTAAACTAAAAATCTTTCACTAATTTTACTAAGTAAAGGGCAAGAACTTTACAAATACTGAATAAATCCACAAGCAAACCCCCAAGGTGCATAAGTACACATGCTGACCAACATTCTTAAAAATTTTCAGGCCTACAAGTCAAATACTTTTTGAGCTATGCATGAACAAGTTGAAAATTGCAAATTTATACAACTGTAAGTGCAATAACTCAAACAAAACTGAAAAAAAATCCACATGCAAAGTCCCAGGTGTATAGCTTCACAGTGATGTTGATCATTATTCCTGTAAAGTTGGTTGACTCTAACGTAAGCACTCAAGGACCAAATAACACAACATAATGAAACTGTTTTTACTAAGTCAAGGGCAATAACTCTACAAATACTGGATAAATCCACAAGTGAAACACAAGGTGCACAACTACATATGCTGAGAAACATTTCTGTAAGGTTACATGACTATGTTGAAATTTGCAAAAATTTTCTAAGTCAAGGGCAATAACTCCAAAAAGACTAAATAAATCCAGACGAAAATACCCAGGTGCACAACTACACATGCTGATCAAAATTTCTGTAAAGTTTCATGACTATGTCAAATACTTTTCGAGTTACCTGTGACAGAAAAAGGTACATCAAGGGATTGCCAGAAAGGGGATGTGGGTTAAAAGAAGAACTTTGTAATGCACATAATAGGTTGTTACACTGGCTGTAGAAGCATGGAGCCAACTGGAATATTTTTTTTTACAGATGGTTTTCAGGGATTTTTTCCAGGATTTTGGGAACACAACCCATACCCATGGAATTGGGAATTTCAGCAGTGTTTTGTTAAAAATTGGGGAAAAATGCATGACTGAAACAGACTTCCTGAAAGTTGAAAAAAACTGTCAGACATTCGGTCTGACAAACCATGAAAATCTGTCGGACCGAAACAAAATCTGTCGGACCAAATAAAATTGATCAAAATCAAAGAAAAACTTGTGTTTGTATTTCTAAGACACTTTTTGTTTTTTACTTTTTCGCCGTAAAAATCGGCACAATCCGTACATCGCATTTTCATCTCGTCCCTGTCATACACCAATGATTCATGGTTCTGCTTTCATTTTTCATTAAATTTTGTCTCAGGTCTAATATTTTCATCATTTTATTACTTTTCTGTGCACTCTTCTGACGTAGGTTTTCGGTTTTTCCAAGGTTTGGCACCTTTAGCGACGCCATTTTGTATACATGCGGCTTGGATAAAAGCCGGACAGTCGGACCGATCCGGAATAAAAAATTGTCGGACCTGATCAAAATTTATCGGACATGTCCGTCGGACCGACGTATTTCGGGAAGTCTGCTGAAATTTTGCAGTGATTAAATTGATGCAAACAATTACTGTCTATGATGGCATCTTCAAAGATTTTATATACTATTTTCAATTGGGAATATGACCCAATAAAGTAGTCCAATATATTAGACGTTACAGGCTTGATATAGTTTATGTCGGTCAAGCCGGACGTCTAATAGTTATTGCTCAAAAACGCATAGCATCATAAAAAATTCAAAAAATGTCTATTGTCTTGCCTTTCAAGCTTTATTCAAAAGCTTATCTTCTTTTCTTTCAATTTCATGCTCAATCATACACAAAAACTCTCAAACAATGTACTTATCAATTTAAAATAAACAATCTATTTTTGTCTATCAGCAATACTGGTTAAGCAAGGTGCTTTACAGATTGATTCCAAATTTTTGAACGGAAAATATATTCGAACACACTGACGGTGCATGGGGCAATTATTTCGTTAAAAAAATATTCCTTTAGATTGTTCTGACTCAGTTAAACGCTTGCATTTGAATTAGCCAATCAGATTTCGCGCACTTTATGGCAGTGTTCGAAATAAGCAGTAGTCCTATAGCCCCTGACTACTAAATTTCTCCTCGGGCTACCAACTTTTCAAAGTAACGAGCCTGGCCAGGCTACTGTATTTTCACATTTTTCAGAGGCAATATAAACAACTGTTTTGAACAAATGAATTGTGCTAGTGAAATGTCTTTTGGGCTAGTGAATATTTCACTCTGGTAGTCAGACCAGCCTAGTGGATTCAAATCCTAATTTCTTACACTGTTATGGTCGCCATTTGTTTATCGGCTGTAAAAGGAATTTAAATACATGACAGGATTTAATCGTGATTTTTCGGATGTTTTGACAAAAGGTAGATTCTATATATTTATTTTTTAGTTTTGTTCATAAATAGGTCAAAACTAATGGAAATACATGCTGTCTTAATTGATTTTCGTTCCGCCCAATTTTTTGGCGGCACATGCTATGGGTTTTTGAGCAATTTCGATTGCTTTGCCCAGAAGCAAAAATATCTCAAAGCGACGTCATATTTATAGGACTATAAAATAAGCCAAAACAATTCCTGGTTTTGGAACCATAATTTCAAGTTAAGAGAACCTTCAAATGATTTTAAATGCAAAAGATTCTCATCTTCTACCTAATTGTCCATAAAGATATCATGACAACCTAGACCTGTGAAAGTTCCCCTGGGATCTAAAATAATAAAAAAAAAACTGGGACTCACTTTCAAGTTTCATTGAATAAAATAAATCTATCATCTATTTCGCAAAACAGACTAGTTAAAACATGTGAAAATCACTCATTAAAACGTTTTTTTTTTAAATCTGTTTCCAAGTTTTCCGAAAATGTAACCTACAAATCTTTCAATATATAAACAACTACAAAATGAACGGGTAAACTTATATGCACAAAACCGTTTAAACGCGTAACTTACAACAAAAATTGTAAGCGTATCACATAACCTAAGTATAGATTATTCTGCGATTTGCTAAAACATAATGAAATGTCACGTTAATAGTCAAGATTAACGTAAATATAAATGCATGTTTACGAATGTGTCTTACCCGAATTGATTCAAAGCGGAAAAGGAAGTCTATTCGGAACTGTTCTTATTTTAATATCTCGCACATTTTCATAGTCATAATGTGTCGATTAAACGAGTCACCGGACACCGGAAGTATACAAATGTTGCTAGCAGGTGTCCCACCATCAGTCTGTTTGGCTTCAAGCTGTTTATATTTTAACTGCAAGCATGATTGTGACAAACAGAATGTTTTGACGTGATTGAGCAATTTGCACTTAAAGAATAAAGGTATTGTTTTGAACCAAATATCTATATCGGAGTAAGCAGGTCGAACTCCAATCATAAACTGATCACAGGTAAACGTCGTGTGGCCATGACTTAAACTAGACCCCCTGTTCCCCCTCTACAACCCAAAACCCTTAAAAAAAAATTTATGAAAAAAATTTTTTTATGACTCATAAATATTGTACTTATGAGTCATAAAAAATTTTTTTTCATAAATTTTTTTTTTAAGGGTTTTGGGTTGTAGAGGGGGAACAGGGGGTCTAGTTTAAGTCATGGCCACACGACGTTTACCTGTGAAACTGATAAACACTAATAAATTCCATTGGAATAGATGTCTGCAATGCTGAACCTGCGGTCAAGATCCAAACCCCACTATGTGCCTAAAGACAAATAACTTTTTATGTTTACCCCAACCAAAAAAAAATAATTAAAAAATATAATGATAAATAAATAAATCGTGCATGCTTTTTTTACTTTTGAAAGATCTTCCCCGACTTTCTTTTTTATTTCAAATATATTTTGTTATGTAAGGTCAAAACATTGAAGTTAAATATCGTTAGTCCAGTTCGCCAAAAATGCAATGCTCACAGTAAATGTGTTTGCTTCTCGTCAATATGAAATTAGGCAAAGCCTTATATGAAATTACTGGTGCTATCTATGGCACGGAAAGCTCTTATAAATTATGATTTTAGCATTGCATGTTTAGTTTACATGTAAACCAGATCTTTCTTGCAGGTATTTTGTACCGTAAACAAAACAAATAAATTGGTGGTGTTAAACCTATCACCTGAGTGCTCGGAATATTCTGAAAATCTCCTAACATAAAGGGGGACCACTGCGCATGCGTAGGCATTTGGAAAATCCCCTCGGCCATTTTTGTGAATCTCTAATCACAGTTGTTGTTTTAACGTTATTTTTTAATGTGCTTATTTATCAAATAGGATATATGTTAAAGTAACTTTTTATATTTATAAGCGTTACTATAGTTCTTATCAAGGAAATGCATGTTTATTTTCTGATTTTGTACATCATTCTTTCACTGGAAGTGTTATTTAGCATGTGTCTGCTAGCAATAGTCAGAATTATTAAAAGCGCTCTGATATCTATATCTAGCTTAAAAGGATTTCAAAATGGCGGCGCCCAGTTAACTAAGGATTTTTTCACAGCTCATTAGGTATAGGATATATATTTTTTTTGAAATTTTCGTTTACTTTTAATTTTATTTCATTTGAATTGATACGCGTCATACATGTTATCTAAGAGCGCTACAGCCCTCGCTCGGACTTTCTGCGTATGAACATGGAAGTCGTTTAAAATATTGATTTTTATTTTACATTTTCCTTTTTAAAGGTGTCATTCGGTATTTCATGCACCACTTTAATTTTTCACTCTGAACATCTCAACAATTATTATTAAGCCGAAAAGTTGCGATTGTACTGTTATCGGAATACCCTATTATCATTGAGTTAAATTGACAACCTTACTAGATATGATACTGAAAACTTCACTGATAGGTATAGAAATCTATATATATTTTTAACTGTTTTTATCTGATTTCCTTAAATATACACATGTAGTCTATAGCCAGGCAAGCCAAAGTCTTTGACTTCCCCGTATTATAAACTCCATTTAAACTCATTGCAGACATAACAAAAAAGTAAAGTACGTCGTTCATACACAGTTCCATGTTTACTGTTTGAAATTCATATTCTTACTGGTATTTCAATATCAAAGGAAGAGTGTCGTTCACTTCAAAACAGGACATTATCTCTTTATTAAATATCCATCTTCTAATACTATGTAGAACACAATTTTCAATAAAAAAAACCCCACCAACATCAACAATAAAATACCTTTTTTTGATGATATGTATTGAACTTGTTTTATGTGGTATTTCAGGAATTCAGAATGGACAGACCATTAACGATGAAAAGTGGGAAAAGCGGGAAGAGTGGTGTGGCGCTGAAGTCCAACTACTCTGTGCATCATCGCTCTGACATTCTCATGGAAGAACAGGTAACATTTCCATATAATCTATGTGGGTGTAACATAATAATTTTATATGTACCAACATAACTATATTATATATACAAGATGTAACATAATCATATTTTATGTACAAGATGTAACATAACTATATTATATATACAAGATGTAACATAATCATATTATATGTACCAGATGTAACATAACCATATTATATGTACCAGATGTAACATAACCATATTATATGTACCAGATGTAACATAATCATATTATATGTACCAGATGTAACATAACCATATTATATGTACCAGATGTAACATAACCATATTATATGTACCAGATGTAACATAACCATATTATATGTACCAGATGTAACATAGATATATTATATGTACCAGATGTAACATAGATATATTATATTTACCAGATGTAACATTACTTGTATTATTTGTACTGGTTGTAATATTACCATTTCATCTGTTTTGGGTGTAGCATAATTATATTGTCTCTACTGAGAATTACTAAATGTTACCTTACTATATTATATAATCTGTAGTGGATGTTAGGTTACTTTAACATCTGGAAAGAGGCTTTATATAGGCCTCTGTTTTATAAGGTGAAAATTCAATGTTACATTACTTTAATATTTGTACTGAGGTAACATAACCGTATCATTTGTATTAGGTGTAATATTACCATATTACCTGTACTGGGTGTAATGTGTAAGTCATATTGGGGGATAAAATAGGTAAAAGGAATATTGGTTAATATTCTAAATGAAAAAGAAGATAAATAGTCAAAAATAATTTTGAAAGAAGTAACCTTTTTAAAATTTAAGATTTCTGTCTTTAGATTGAGGCAGTTCAGAAAGGTCAAGAAGACTTGAAGAAAGCTCTATCTGATCTGGAATCAGCGAAGAATGAAGAGGATGTTGATAAATGTCGGGCTGCAGTACAAGAGGCCAAGGAGAAATCTGAGAAAGCTATCATGGTTTTACAGGTACTGTAGACAAACCTTTCCAATATAGACACATCTGAGTTGATCACCTTACCTGTTTAAAATGATTCATCAAACATGTTTTAAATGATTCTCCATACCTGTTTTAAATTATTCTCCATTCCTCTTTTAAATGATTTATTTGTAGAAGTTACAGGTTGTTTGGAAAGAAAACAGTTTAACCATGCTAAATATCTTAAATGAACTTAAATCAATCTTTCAGTCCAGCCAAAACCAGTCATGATTTTAAAGGAAAATTTGATAAGTACTGACTGGATAGCAAACAGTGCAGACCATGATCAGATAACACAGATGTGCGAGATGATCTTGGTCTGCACTAGTTGCACAAGCAGATTCTGTAGCTGTCAACAGTCTGAAGTTTAAATATTGGTGCAGAATGTAGGTACACTCATTAGAAAACACTTTAAATTTTCATAAATGTAAACATGACTCCAGAAGCATGTTGCTTTAAAAAATTTGCCAATCAAACAAACTATCTTACAGGTTTTGACTAAAGTGAACACAGAGCTACAGTTTGCTAGAAATGAGTTAGATGAGGCCCTGGAGAAACAGGAAGGTGATATAAATGAGGCCAGGAAGAGGGTTATGTGGTTGGAGGATAGAATTGGTATACTGTGTGGGAAAGCCAGGCTCAGGGTAAGTTATCTATCGTCTAATACTTGAGTAATTTTTAGTTTGAATATTAGGTAAAGTTTTGGGTGCATCATAAATCTTCTAAAGTACTGAAAGAATTCAATTGAATCTTTATTACATGTCTTTGTGACCCTAACTGAAGATCACTTTTCACTGGGCACAACTCTGACATTAATTTTGATTGAAAAGTAGTCATTTGTGAACTTTCAAAATTTTGCTGCACCATCAATCTTCAAAATCACTGACTGAAGGTTACTTCAACTTGGGGTCACTTTCCAAGGCCCACAACTGTGGCACACATTTTGATTGAATTATAGCCCTTTGTGAATTTAGAAAATTCTTGGTTAAAGTTTTACTTGCAGTATCAGTCTGTAAAACTTTTGAAGGTATTCCTTTGAATCTTAAGGCAATCTGGGGGATCATTATTGTAGTGATATTAAAGCTGTGTGATATTTTGTAGTTTAACACTCAAATGATAGAGTTTATGATTAATTTAAGCAAAATGGTTTGTTTTTAGGTTCAGCCTAGCAAGCCACGCCTGAAGAGTTTTAGGTCACCGGAAAGGTCATACAGGTCAAGGTTAGGTAGTGCCACTGATAGTAGTGAAAGTGAAGATGAAGGGGAAAGAGGTCGACCAATGCGTATGGGTCGTAACATGTCAATAGAAGTTAGTACAGTGACAACTCGGCATGCAGACATGTACTCTCCGGGCGAGTCCGAGTCTGACTATGATCCTTACTATCAACCAGGTCGGTCTGGTCTTGCTGATACACCGTCTTCTGGTAATTTATTTATACATAATAGTTGATTGGTTTACAGTGAAAGTTATTCACTTTCTGAATGTAAAAGAGCTATTTGATGTTAGATTAGCTTTACTTTGAAAGACATAATTGTTTGAAAAAGTGGCAATTCTTTTAGTTGAATCCTTAAGGGGAAAGTAAATATAAAGTCCATGAACATAGTGTTAAATAACATTGAGATTTTTAATAGACCATCCTAAGTTATTATACATGTCACATATTAAATCAGGCTTTCTTACCATTATTGCCATCATTTCATTGATTTAATTCAAGTTTTATTTACCATTAAAATTTAAACCCTTCATAAATGACTCATAACTGAGATAAGCTAATTTAAATTAACGACACAAAATTCCTATTAATTTGTTAAAAAGATTTATTATACCTTTACATTAATAAACAAAATTTTGCTCTTTTTCTCCCGGAATATTTATTTTTAAAGAAATGTTGTAGGTGCTGAATCCTTCTTGGCACATCAGAAGATGGGAGGTATGAAAGGTCCTGGTATGATGCAGGGTCCAGGTATGGGAGATAGTGAGTCTGAATCAGATGACGGCATGCCTCCTCCTATGTTACCTGGACCAGCTGTGGCTCAACAGAGGCGAGGACTAGACGACTCGGGTTCTGAGTCTGATTCAGAGTACAGCGGTGCTCCACCACCACCACCACCACCACAGACAGTCCATCATGGAGAGGGACTTTCTGTCCTGAAACCAGTAGGTTATACTGCACCTACAGAAAGCTCAATGTATGGAGAGGTAATAATTCTGTTCTAATTAATTTTCTTGTCATTACAAGTAATTTTCAAGTTTTGTATTCATTATAGTCTATAAAAAGAAGAAAGTTTGAAATCTTTTTATCAGGGTATTGTGTTATTATTTGCTAGATATGAAATTATTTAATTATTTTTAATGCATATTTATTCAAATATAAATATTTTACAATACACATACATTTCTTATACATGTATTTGAATTTATCCCACCTTAGACTCGAAGAACAGCAAGAACAGAGGGAGAAACTTTAGCATACACTGAGAGACAGACAGATGAACAGACAGAGGGACAGACAGATAGACAGGTGGAAGAGGAAGAACAGAAACAAGGTGATAAGGCAGAAATAGAGAGAAAAGAAGACGAAGATATGGAGAGAGAGAAGAGTGATGTGTCTGAACAAACAGAGACAGCAAGTTCATATAGTGAGGTCAGCAGACAAACAGAACAACAAGGTAAACTAATATTTTAAAGTTAACTTTTTACCTCTGCATTTAAACGTAGGGAAAGGGGAGTTTTCTTGTTCATTTTACAGTATGTATACTCCAGCATTGACATCTGTGTATCAGGAGTGGTTCCAGGATTTTTCATCAGAGAGATCACACAGTTTAATCAGGGGATAATGCATAATCCAAACGGGTGTTGACATTTTTAAAAAGTTTTCCAGGAGTGAAAAAAATCTGATTTATTCCAGTTGATATTATTATTATTGGTATATAAAAATATAAGTTTAGAAGTTACGGAATGCAAATCATATTGGCAGTATATACTTCATATTTTTTTTATCTGCAGAATTATAAAACATGATATTTATATTGTGTTGATTTTTATTTTATTACAGAAGGTGACCCTGTGTTTATAACTGAACCATCATTTCGCAAGGAGAAAACAGTGACAATAAAAACACCTCAGAGACAGACCAGAAGAGGTATAGAATTATTATTTCCTCATAAATGTTGGTTCCATAGTTGATTATATCTAAAATCAGTATATTTGTAATAATATTCTGTCATGTTTGCTAGAGGAAATATGTGACTATGTTAGAATTGCTATAAAGCTAGGTACTTAACTGTAGACTGTATGAATAGTAGCAAATATGAACAGAAGAATTCAAGATACAAAAACGGACTGAATTAGAAAATCATGAACATTCTCTTCATTAAAAAATGTAGCCCCTTCTATAAACTTTCTTTGATAATACTTCTCTTTTTTAAACTATGGAACTTATGTACTGAAAAATAAGGTTATTAACAGTTATGAATGATGTACAATGTAACTGATCTCTAATTAGATCAAACATACAAGTATGATTCATTACAAATATGATTAATGTTTTCATAATTATATAAATACTAATCAAATAAAATAATTAAGTTCTTGTTCAACTTTACTAGATTATAAGGAGAGGCAGTTGTTTTATTCATGTTTTCTTCTAAAGCATAAAAAGTAGCAGTCTTGTTTATTTTTTAATATTTATATGACAAGGGAGTATTGAATACAGTCAAACCTGTGGGTAAAGGTCATTCTGGGCATGTATATGTCATGTTTATTTATTTCAGCAAACATATCATTATGTATTTTGCCTTAATAAAATTGTGAATCTTTAGAATAAAGTATGAAATATAAACAGGTTTTTCTAAATATTGTTTTTCTTAAGCACAGGTTTGGCTGTACAGTGCATTTCTATTATATAACTATAGTTTGATATATATATTGACATTTTTATGACATGAACTATAGGAGTACGTAGGGTAACATTTCGTGACATGGGTATGTATTTTGTGTGGTACCGGAGAATTATTATCATGCTATGTATGTCAGCTGCATGTGTTTGAAAATTAATGTCTGATAAAACCATGTTTAAAACAATATGATCAGTAAGACACAAATCCGTCTTCAAAAATGTTTTCTATATATTTTCCCTTATGATTCAGGATATATGTTTATTATGTTAAAGTTGCTGTCAAGATAATGATGAAAGGCAAGGCGATGTCTATATTGTAATAATGTTAGGATAAACATTTTTTGATAACATATTAATTAAACTAATTTTGATTCCCTAGCATTTATTTCTTGGCTACTTATAGCAGAAACTAATGACAGGAAATTGATGAAAGCTTAAGAAAGGGAAAAAAGCTTGAAGAACTCTTAATTTGCATTTTAGTTTCAAATGCTGTGAAATGCTTATTTTTTTTTTTTTGCTCATCCCCTCCTTGGAATGAATTTATTATTATGTTTAATTTATAAATTAAGTTCATGATTTTGTCTTCCCTCTTTCTTTGAGTTGAGGATTGCAATTTACCTATAATGAGGACTTTCATTTTGAATGACTATATTTCTTCTTGGTGCATGGAACTTTGAACTGAATTACCCAGAATGAAGCATTATCAGACATTTTCCCATCCACAACATCTTGTACTACAGTAGGCATATAATATGAAATCTTTATTTCATAATAAGTGCTGCCTGTCTGTATCCTATCATTTTGATCCTATAATTTTGATCTTTTGATTTATAAACTCACCAAATGCTTTATATTTTATGACCAAAGAAAGTGCATATGTCAGGGTATTTTTTTATATTTGATTCTTTCATATAAGGAAGCTGTAAGGCTACATTATTGTTGATGGGTGCCCACTTATGTCTGAAATAATGCATAGAGGGACACCAAATGTCTCCCTTGACTATTTAAGATTGGAAAGTTGCAATATGACCTCTTCCAGTGCCACTTGACTTAAGAACACTACATCAAATTAAGAACACTACATAAAAATTATAATGCATATTATATGTTATTTTTAAATCTGGAAACAGATTTTGTATTGATTATATATATGTGTAATAACAAGATTGTCAGTTTTAACAAAGTAAATGCTTATGAAAATGTGACAAAATGAATGGTTAATCAGTTGCTATGGTGATGAATGTTCTTAAACTAATTATAGGATTTTTTTAGTGAATGATCTTTTTTAAAGTAATTATTTTTATTTTGTGTATATGTTTTAATGTATTTATATTATGATGTTTTATGTTTAATATTCTAACTTAAGTTATTATTTAGTTATTAAATAACATTTAAGCTCTTCTGTAGAGTATTATAAATATTCAGTACATGTTTTCCAGTGTAACTCAACAATATAAGAACACATTTCAGTAAAACTCAAATAAACTACAGTAGTCTATAATTATACTGGATATAATTTTACTACAATTGTTTAAATTAGTTACTTTATGTCAGTCTTGGTTAATTATCTAATTAATGGCTAACAATGTAGTCATTCAGCGGTAACAATTATGGCAAATGTAAAAAATTACCTCAATTTGAAAGCATAACAAAAGTTTGGCAGTTCTGATTGGTTGCTGTAAACCATCACTAAAATCATAAAGTATTGTCTCTTACTAGTATTTAGTGGTCAACTTTTCTTACTTTATTTAAGACTTAAAAACTATTTTTATGCTTTGAAATGAAATAGAAGCGGCGCCAAGTAGTTAACACATCAGACTTGTAATCTAACAATTGCTGGCCGCATAGGTTCAAACCCTCTCAGGGGCAAGCCATTATTTCCTTGAGCAAGAAACTTTACACTCATTGCTGAGTACTGGTTTGTTCCAGGAATGGATTCGAGATTGTTTCAGTAAGCTTATAGCTTCCAACACATTCAAACTAAAATAAATTAGTATAAACTAAATGTCAATAGCAACTAAAATCGTATGACAATTCAACAAAAGTTAACGCTAACTTGCTGAAATTCTTAAATGGACAGCTTTTATTTTTGAAATGGTCCATTTTTCAATTATTGGGATGTCGGGAAATAAAAATTCAAAAAGTTAAAGTAAAGCCAAACATTTTATAAAAACCCGGGTTTGAACTTGCAAGGAATATGTGGAGAAAGCCTGACTATCCCTTACTGGGTAACAAGGGGCCTTTGGGGTTTTTTTGGTTCCAGCATTTTAAAAGTAATTTTCCTTTTTAAAATGATAAAAATTTAAATAAACATAAAAATTTTTTAAAAAGATAATTAAAAAAAAAATTAAGGTTTGAAATTTTATTATTAAAAAAAATTTTAAATATTGACAATACACTTGTTGATTTAAAATTTTGAAAACAGTATGGGAAAATAGGGTTTAAAATTTATGATTTTTCAAATAAATGAAGAAAGGCCTGTAGTTCATTTTTTTGTTAAAAAACTGTTTTTTTTATGTTGTCACATTGTCACACGGGAAAAAATTATAAATAAAAACAAAAAAAAAATCAGATTCACAGGAAAATTTTAGTCCCATTGATTTTTAAAAAAAGGGGGGAAATGCTTTTAAGTTTTTCATCTTGACCAAAGGTTTGGGTACCAAATATAATTAACCGGATACCTTTTTGGTTACTAGGGGTTGGATATAAATTTTTTGATAAATTAAGCTCGGGGTTTTTAAAAATTTAACCCTGTTTATTATAAAAAACCAATTTCAAAATGAAAACTCAGGAGCATTGCATTGATACATATTATGGTAGATTATCACTAGAAATACAATTTATGTGTAATATTTAATATTGTCCTATTGTAGAAGTACTTATAAAGTGAAACAATGTAAAATTTCAAAGATATGTTTCAATACATACAATGTAATTTATTGTAAGAGCTCTCAGTTTGAAGAATGATTCTTATTGATGAGTGAACTCACCTGCTTCTAATGTTTGATAGGTTTTTGTATTGAATCAGTTCGAATATTTGTCTACTATTATGATAGATCTCCAAAAAACATGGCATATATGTTAACATTAGCTTTCAAATAGTTTTTCTGTCAACGAGGATTCAGAAATCAAGTGGGATTAGCTGCAAAGTCTCCCACTTGTAGAGAAATAAGTAATGACTGGTTAGTTATCCAGGAAAGAGTCTGTTAATGGTTGACCAACTACTTAGATATGACCAAAAATGTGTTGAAATCAGATTGTTACCTTTACTCTCCGTTAAAAGTCACTTTTACTGTGTTTATGTGTGACTAAATAAAACAAGATCAAAACAATAAAAAAATCTAAAAAAAGAAGTAATAGATGTAATGTTGGCTTATTGTTATTCAAGATGGTAAAGTATAAGGTTATTTAAGAGTATCACTCTATTTGTAATAAAAAGTTTGTTTTATTTTCTGAAATTAATTTTCTATTTTGAAAAAAACAAAACAATTACTATATTTTTATCCATTAAGATATAAATGTAAAGATATATGAAATTTTTGGTTTTGTGTTTTAAATGATTATAGTGCATCAGAAGCTGAAATAAGTATTAAAAAGCATTATTTTTTATGCAATAAATTTGATATCTAAGGTTGATAAGATTGGTAGCTTGCATTATGCTCCAGTTATATTGAAACATAATATCCTTAAAATAATTGATTCACCTCTAATCTCATGGAACTTTAAATGAGTTAGTATTTAACATCCTTATCAGCATGTTTTTTTCTGCAAAAAATGCATCAAATCAGCCATAAATAATAACAAAACATTATGTCATCACACAGCTTGTAAATAAATACCATATAGGAACAGTGACCTAGTCAAAAATAATGTATTGGGTATTCCTTAAAAGATAATTTGATACTACTAGTATCTAGATTTACTCTTCTTAAAGGTTAACAGGTTATACATGTATTAAATATAATATAAATATACATGTAGAATGATAATTACAACATACAGAAATTATTTACAGTAAAGGATGAAGCAGCCCAATCACTGGAAGCACAGGAAGAAAGTTTTCTGGAAGAGGAACTGGACATAGATAAGGCACGTGACTACTGGCTGTCTGAACACCACAGGTTCGAGTACTCGCAGTACTCTGAGGTGTTACTCGAGTTAGATCCCCTGTCATACCATAATGTCGGCCTAGCTTTGCCTGGCACTTTCATAGAAAAACGTTTAAGTCTATATAAAAACATTTTGTATACATTTATTAGGGTTTTTTTATTAAAGGGGTTTTAAAATTTAAAGATTTTTTAACACCCTTACAAAAACCCGCTCAGGGAGATATATTTCAATAAGTAATTTTCTGATTTTAATTATAAAAATTAATGCAAGCATATATTTCTTAACATTTCCATTTCAAATTCAAAAAAACATTGTTAGAGGTTAAAAAATTTTCAAAATAATTTTTTTTTAAATTTTTCAAAAATGCCAAAATTTTGTTTTACGCTTTGGGTAAAGGTTTTAAAGGGTTCCCGGGGCCCAAATCTAAAAGGGAAAAGGGAAGTGACATCAATGATATACAGTAAAAAAATTTTACCCTTTTCTCCCGGGAATACATTTTTTTTTTAAACCAATCATCTTTTATTTTTTTGGGTAAGTTGTAGCGTCTTTATACACTTTTTTTTTTTTTAAACCCAAAATTTTCCCCCAAAATTTTTACATAATTTTTTTGGAAAAAAATTTTTAATTCTTTAGAAACAAATTCTCCAAATTTTAAAAAAAATAACAAAAATTTTAAATTTTACCAAATTTAAATAAAGGTTTAAAATTATTTAAATTAAATTTTCCCTAAATTAATTTAAGACCCGGGGTTTGGGGGAGAGTTTTTTGTTTTTTTAAAAAAATTTGTTGTGGATATTTAGGGAAAATTTTGCCTGGAAAAAATTTTGGGATGAAATTTTTGTGTAAAGCTTTTTTAAAAAAAAACCCAAAGATCAACAAGATGTAAAAAACGTAAAATTTCAGAAACTTGCCCTGGATAAATTAGCGGGTTTCGTTTTTTCATACAATTTTTTGGGACAAGTTTTGACGCGCTCGCAAAATTTTGGTAAAAACCAAATTCACAACAAATGGGGGGCCGGGGAAGGGGGGGAAAAACGACCATTTTTTCTAACTTTGATGGTAAAATCAAAAAACAAAAATTTTTTTTTTTTTTTTTAATTTAAATGTCTAAACATTTTTATCTCAGAAAACCTGTTGATTTCTTTTGATTTTATTGTTTTTTTCTTTAAATTTAAAAGGGTGAAAAAAATGTTTTTTCCAAATTTGGAATTTTATTTAAAAATTATTCAAAAACAGAAAGCTTTTTTTAAACAAAATATTTTAAAAAAAACTCTAAAAACCAGACCCTGCCCAGACTTGACCAAAAAGTCGGGGTTTTAAAAAAATTCGGGTTTTTTCCAAGAAGTTTTAGTAAAATTTAGCCCAAAAAAAAGGATTTTTAAAAAATTTGCCCTTTTTTTTTGGGAAAAAGGTTTCCCGGGTTTTAACAGAGGTACTTTTTTTTCATAGAAAAATTACAAAAAAAAGATGTCAAATTTTAATTCCTTGCATTTTTTTTAATGCCATTCCCTCTTTAAATAAGATATATACCTCCCTGTATTTTTGTTTTTAATGATAGCTCCTCCGACTAAAGACAGAAGATGTTATCTAGAAATTTCTTTTTTTGGTTTTTTTCACTAACACCACTCACTGAGGGTTTTAAAATCTTTTAATTTTTAAACTCTGTGTAAAAAAAAAAAAAATTTTGGCTATTTGTTAAAAATTTTTTTTTAAAAATTTTAAATTCAAAAAGGTAAAAAAAAAACATATAAATTATTTTTTTTTTTTGGGTTTTGTTTTTTTTTTTTAAATTTGGTTAGCCGGGGTTACCCTTTTTTTTCCCCCCCCCCACTGGCTACCCTTGAATTGCCCCTTTAAAATTTTTAACTTTTGAATAAAAATTTTTGAATGTATTGAAAAAAAGTCCTTCAAAAATTTTTCAAAAAATATTTTTAAATTTTTAAATTTTTTTTAAAAAAAAAAGGGAAAAATTTCCAAACCCTTTAAAGTTTATAACAAAATTTTTTTGGCATTTAGATAAAAATTTTTAAAGGTCTTTAAAGGTCGGGGTGGGAATGTAAATGTTTAATTAAGTAATTTAAAAAAGTGAGGTTTTTGTTTCCCCAATTTAAGGGTTTCATCCATGATAAATCCCAAAAATTTTTATTTATCTGTAACTTGTATTAGATTTTGTTTTTATTTTTTTATCAAAACCCAAAAGGGTTTAAAAAAATTTATTGGAAAATTTTGTTAAAATTTATCCCCATTTTTGGCAATTTTTGTAACACCCCTAAAAAAATAAATTTAAATTTTATTAGCTTCTTTCCCAGTTTTTTAAATTGGTTTATGTGCTCAACACATTTAATAAATTTTTAAAAAAAAAAAAAAAACCCTTTGGAAAAAATTAAATAAAAAACAATCTTTTGAAAAAGGTTTATCAGTTCCAAAAGATTAACTAAGTTTGGAAAAACCCTTTGTGCAAGAGAATTAGTTAAAAAATTTTTTTAGATTTTTATTTTATTTTTAAAAAAATTTTCCCAATTTTTTTGTAAAAAAGGGGAAAATAAATAATTTTTAAATGGACACTTATACATGAAATGTAAAAAAAGCTTCTCCATAATGGAAAAATGAAATTTAAGAATATATAGAACTGGCAAAATTAAACAGATCAGTTAAAAAAGGGGGAAATGTTTTGGGTTTTTAAAATTACAGGTGTTAGAGAAGGTCCCAAAGATCGGGGTCCCCCAACAGGATAGAAAAGGGAAAATTTTTTTTATATAAAACTTTTTCTTTAAAAAACATTCTTTTTGGGTTGAATTGGGGGGAAACAAAAAAAAATTCCCTAGGAAAAAATGGAATAAAAACGAAATTATTTCAGGTTATCCCTATTAATTTTATTTTGTCGAAAAAAAAAAAACCCTTTATATTCCAGTAGATTTTTTTGGAATAAATACTGATGAATTTTAAAATGTTTAAAAACTTAAAATCATTAAGATTTTAGAAATATTTTCATTTTTATGAATTTTTTTATACTGTGGTGCAGTCGAGTTTTGTGTGTTAAGTATTATTCATACCATTAGTTTGTTAAGGATTATAAGTTCATTTACTATTTATGACTTGTAAAAATTTTGTCAAACTCATTAATTTTCATAAAATTATTTTAAAATCATCAGTTTACAAGATTTTTTGATCTTTTAGATGCTTGTTTGACTTGAATTAGTGACATACTGGTATACTAAATTTTATGAGCTATTGAAATTTTTGATATCTTCATGTTTTTAGTTTTTTTAAGCCATTGGATTTATATTTTAGCCTGGTATGGTAACAGCGCCACCTTCAACAGCAGACGGCATGTCACGTCCCCAGACTGTATCACAGGAAATAGTTCCTAGTAAACTGAGGCCCGGTCTAAATGTTTACCATCCAAAACCTATCCCTCCACCAGAGATGTTACCCTTAACTAGAACTGTAAGTAATATTGTATCATTATCATATATTAAACTCCTGCTTTTTTATTCTATAGTTATGCTTTCATTCTATTCAATTTTTAGTTTCAATACTTGTATGTAATCAGAGAAAATATTGGCTATTGTTCACATAGGTGCCTGAAACAAACTTTTTTATGTTCTATATGGGCTATAAACTATAAAAAGATATCTTAATACACATATATAAGCTGATTATGTAAAAATATTTGATTGTGAAACAAGCCCCTGTGATTGTTTACTGTTATTTGATTGATTCAAGGTCAAAAGTAAAAATTGTGCAAGCATCAGTTGTGTCAGACTGTAGGTGAAGGCTGGCATGGCGCCCCACTTGTAGCATCTATATGTAATCATTGATGATATTGTCAAGAGAGATAAAACCATTATATGGATATGAAATATTAATTTTGTAAATAAATCTCAGTGTGTATGAATTTCATGTTTGTTCTGCTGTTAGACCTTATCAGATATTTTTCAAAATATTACCATTAATTTAATTGCTTACACCATTTGAATACACCTGAATTTGAGACCAACATTTTTAACTGATGAATCAAAGATAGGATGAAACATTTTCTTATTGGTCAATTTGAAGTCTATTTTTAGCATGAGCAATCAGAAATTGGATGAAATGGGTTTTCTTATTGGTTGATTTGAAATGTATAAATTAAGCTTTAGCCAATCAGAAACTTTTGTTACAGACTGGTTTTATGATGTTTCAAATGCATATTTTATCATTATAGAGCAAAGACAAGGAGTACCCTAGACTGTCAAACACGTTTTGCGAGACAGACGATATACTCGTCCATAAACCTGCCATCAGAATTGTAGATCAACGTAATTTGTACAAAGAGACGAAGCTGAAGCTGTATCGAGATCGGCCAAAAAGAAGCGAGGACGGTCCGAGCACAACGGAGAAAAAGTTCCGTATGATGTTAGAACAAGAGAAAAGCATGGCGTCTAGAAGTTCACGGAGCTCAAGGCAAACTACGTAAGTCTATGTCATATAATTAAATGATTACACGCATAAGTGTAGGACTTCTTATCTTTATAAACATTGTTTCCATAAATCACATACCGCACTTGCGCTAATTTATTTTCTAAATATTGCTATAGAAACAAATATGTTTGTATCAAGAAAGATTTTCATATGCAATAGGAATTATGTTAAAAATGTTTCAATAAGACTTTTTTTGCTTTAGTCATTATATATCTTTAGAAATTACAGTTTTGCACTCTGTATCACACAATTTTTTCGTTAGAGGATATTAGATTGAAGGTAGGTTCAGTAATGAAATTATTGAACAGTTGAATAAATTATAATATTTAAGGCACTATAAGCATAATATCATTTATTCAACAAGTTCAATAAATTAAGTAATGACCTACATGAATGTAGCATTCCATTTATCACATACCTAAAGACTAAAAAAATTATTTTGTCAGATAAGAGGTTTTTCATTGCCACCCCTTTTGGCAATGAGGTTTTTAAATGCTAACTTTTAGCATGGTTTTTAAACCCCAAAATTTGTATAATGCAAATAAACATCATGTCAAAATATATCCCAAAACCATGAAATCTTTTAGGGAAGCCATTAAATCGCACGGGTTTTGTGATAAAAAAAAATTTAAATGTTTTAATGAAGATTTTTCTAAAATATCAATTTATCTTTTTATAGACCCCCCAAAAAGATCACAAGGGAAAAAGAATGGGGTAACACCCTGATTGGTTTAAAAGCTTGATGCCCAATTAATTATTAAAGTTTTAAAAGGTTTCGTAAACCAAAGCCCCTCCTTTTTTATTTTTTAGTTTTCTCTCGGGTTCAAGTTTAAAATTTTTGATTTTACCCTATTTCAAATAAAAAATTTTTTTATTCAATAGCTATAAAATTCAAAATTTTAAAAAGAAGCCCAGTTTTGAAAGGGGTTTACTTTATTTCTTTTGTACAAAAATAAAATTTTCCACATCCAATAAAAAAATTTTAATTGTAAAATTGAATAGTACCCATCTGGAGAAATTACCTAGAATAAGGGGTTATTTTTAAAAACCCTAAAAAAAAATTACTAAAAATAAAAATAAAAAGGGAAAGGACATCCCTGGTAAACATTATGTATCGGGAAATGAATAGCATGTGAAAGAAATTTTTTGGCTTTTTTTTAAAAGGTTTTTTTGTTTTTTGTTCTAATTTTTGGGGGTTGAAAAAAAATTTGGGTGGAAAATTTATTCAGTTATGGGTTTTTTATCCCCCTATTTAAAAAATAAGGGGTTTATAGTAAAACGGCGGGCCATGGGAAAAAAACCCTTTATTTTTTTTAAATTTTGTCCCAAAGGTTACCTTTCCCTTATTTTTCCTTTTAAATTTAAATAATAAACCTTATTTGTTTTTGAAGACCACCTGTAAATAGAGACCTTTTAACCCGATGTTTTAAGGGGGAAAGGATTAACTTTTCTCTAAAATTTATGAAATTAAACTAACTTTTTTACGGGCCCCTTTTCCCTGCTAAAACCCCAATTGAGATTGGGCTTTTTGCCCCCAAAGGGATAGAGTTTAACTCTGAAGTAAAAGGACGGGCCCCCTTAAACTTTTGAAAACTAAATTTTTGTTTTTTTTTAATGTAAAAAATCCCTTTGATTTGGACTTTTCCCAAAATTTCCCAAAAGAAAAAAATTTTTAAACCAACCAATTCAAAAGGTTAATGGTTAAGTAAACTTTTCAATGTTTTCCCGTAATTTGTTCTAATTGGAAAAAAAATTTAAAAGGGGTTTAAAAAAACAAAAGTGGTTTAAAAAACCAGCAAGTTTCCAAAAAAGCCTGAAAACACCCAAGTTTTTTAAAAAAAAAATTGAGCTAAAAAAATTTTCTATTGAAATTTTAAAAGAGTTTTTGGTAACCGAAAAAATTTTTCCTGAAAATAAAGGATTTGGGTTTTGGCTAAAAAATTTTGCTTGGTCCCAAAAAGGTAAAAAAATGTTTTTTTGTCTTTTTTGGCGGCTAAAAATTTTTAAAATTTTTTTAAAGTTTAAAAATTTTTATACTAAAAACTTTGGCCCAAAAGGGGATCCCAAAAAAAAAAAATTTTAACACTTTTTAAATAAAAAAATTTCTTTTTACTTTTTTAATTTTCCCCAAAATTTATTTAACTAAGCCCAGTTAATAGAGAGTTATTTTTTGGGTTTTTATAATTTTTTAAAAAATTACCTAAACTTGGGGTTTTTGGAAAAAATTTTGGGAATATTAACAGTAATAAAAAAACCCTTTTTAAAGTTATTTTTTAAATTTTTTAATTAAAATTGTTAAAGGGTTTTAATTAATTTTTTAATTTTTTTTAAAAAATTTTAATTAATTTTGTTTTTTTATTAATTTAGAAATTCTTTTTTAAATGCAGTAAAAAAACGTTTTAAAATAAAAGGATAATGTAAAAAGGAACAGGCTTGCCTAAAAAGGGTTTTTAAACAAGAAAATTTTTATTTTTTATGGGGAAAGCACACCAATGTCCACTATTTCAAAATCAGTTTCTATAATGTATGTATAGTTGTTGAGGCTAGTGATTTTCCTAATACATTAAAATTTTGTCTTATATTTGCTAATGTTTCTAGATTGATTACTGTATTGTTTGCAATAATATAACAAGTTGCTGATTCTTTCATTTATAATAAATGTGATTTTTTTTTATTTTTATGGAAGCATCAGATAAATTGTTTGCAATATATATGATAATTTTTATTATAGAATGAAATAGCCTTTTCAGAATTGAACGAGACATTTCATTTTAATCAACTTTGAAACAATTTATACAAGATAAGACATTTTATTTTATGATTTATTCTTGATGTATAAAAATGATCTTCTTTGAGTAATAGATGTATCATTTAATATGGCCTATTAGTGTTGAAACCAGTTTAGCCAAAATATATGAACACAATTTAACAACTTTTATTTGTTAAAGCTGCATGCTTCCAGAGTCATGCTAATTTTCATGAAAATTTTGAAAATATTTTTATGAAGAAAACAAAGAAATTAATTTACACATTAAACACAGCACTAACAATCAACATAAATAACCCCCAAAAAAGAGGTCATAATATGAAAAAAATCCTAACTGTTTTAGTCATGCAATAAAAATATGGTGATAAATACTGCAATATCAGTCATTAATTGCACATAACATGTAAATTATTATTTGAATCTTTTTACTTTTCTTAAAATTCTAGAAAAGTTTTCTCAAGTTTTTTTTGTTGAAATGTTTGACTCATCTGGAGACATGCAGCTTTAAGCCAATATAACATTTACAAGTGATACAGGCTTCCTTGTTTGTTTTTTTAAATCATAGTTCTTTATTTTATGTACATCATTTTGTCACTTTGGCTTATGACTGATTTGTTTTGAAGCATTATTTTAGCTTGTGTGAATAATTTACAATGTATTATGTTTGACAAGTATTGTTGTGTCATATGCGGCCTATACGAGTATTACATGTATATCTTTTGATGGCCACTTTTTTCTTTGTGTAATAAAGATACTCAGAAACTCTGCAGTTGCGAGTTTTTCCCATCTTATATCAGGGTGCAAACAAACTTAAACATTTACAGCTTATCAATGTTAAGCGCAACACTTTCATTACTCTGTTGTGTATGGTAGTGCATGCCCTTTGAAACTTCAGCTGTAAAGTTTGTTCCTACATTTTGATTAGATGGGGAAAAACCCACATTTGCCAATAAAGTTCTGAAAGACATCTGTAAATATTCAAAAATTTATTGCTGGGTCAAAGTTAACTTCAGAAGGAGGACATCAAGACATCTATTTTAACATTGATCAATGCCGTTATTTGATGCCTTCATAGTACATCGTTCATATTGGTTGAAATTTACAGTATTAAAAACTCAATTAAAATTTAAGAAGTTTGTTTCTGATACATGAAAAATGCGTATCTGTAACACATATTATATCAAAAGTAACTATAACTTCATTTTGTCTTGAAAAACGAGTTAAAATGATATTTCAGTATTATTAAATACTAGTATTTCAGTTACATGTTTTAATTGGCATACCACAATTTATCATTACAGGGGTAAAGGAGGACCAAGTACTAGAATGTCAATGAGTAGAACACTTACAAAAGGTAAAAACAAAATTTTTCATCTTACATTTCCTGCTGAGGATAAATATTTAAGATATATTGATCAGAACAAAATTAAATATATATGAGCCGCATCACGACAAAACCAACAGAGTGTATTTGCGACCAGCAAAAATCCAGACCAGCCTGCGCATCCACGCAGTCTGATCAGGATCCATGCTGTTCGCTATCCGTTTCTCTACTTGTAAAAGAGTTGGTTAGCGAACAGAATGGATCCTGATCAGACTGCGCGGATGTGCAGGCTGGTCTGGATCCATGCTGGTCGCAAACGCACTTTGTTGGTTTTGTTGTGAAGCGGCTCAAATATATATCTAGTCTAGCAACTAAATTTTAGTAAAACTTGTTTTAATGGGTACCTTAAATGTTATGTTTTAGTTCACCTTTGTTTACAAGTTGAATTGCTCAAATGATTTTATGTCATGCTCTGAATTATATAACCCCATGGCATACAGTCATGTGAACTCTCCCACTTTAGGCGGGAGACTCCCACTTTTTTCAGCCATATTTTCAAAGATTTTTCTAAAGATTATGGGTATTTTCACAAATTAAAGAAATCTCCCTATTTTTGATGTCAGAACTTCCTTCTTTGTTAATTGCAAATTCTAAAATCTCCCTCTTTTTGAAGAAAAATCTCCTTCTTGATCATTGAAAAAAGTTCACATGTATGCCATGGCACATGACATGACATTGTTACATAGGAAAAAATTAGTAAAATAACGAAGTGGAACAGTCAAAGCAACACATTTTCATTATACAAACTTAGCTTGGCAGTACTTTATACCATATTTTTGGATTTCAGTTGTGAAAAAAGTAAATGGTATGTCATTGTAAAATGTATATAAAAATAATCTTATGTAAAGACACAAAGCACAAGTAGTCAATATAATGTATAAAATAGTTATGACTTATGATAGTCACATACATGTAAATTCAATATTAGTCACTCTCAAATGTATATATAGCAATGTGTTATAAAAGAAATTGAAATAGTTACAATATCATCACAAATACAAACAAAAACACATTTAGTATTATAAACTGGTAGTACTTATTACATTAAATGTGATTTTAGAAATAATACATGAATTATATGAGTTATTTTCTAAAGTCATGGAAGAGAATGTATAGGCTTTTTAGTAAATGTATTTATGTGTTAAATGGCAAATGCCTCTTCAAAGTTTTCAGGCAGTATTTTCGGCATGTTGACCACCATGATAAAACAACTGATACGTCATAGCTGGATAACTTTCTCACTATTTGAATTATTATTTTTAGAATCTAAAGTTCTTGTATCTATTATTAGTCTCCCTCATAAGGCCTTGACTTGAATCTCCAATACATGAGAGGGGATGGGGGTTTAGTGGGGCATGATCCCTCTGGGGTTTGGCTAGTATGTGGAACCCCTTTGAGATTTGGATATGAACTTCATATGAAATCTCGCATAAACTTGTTCAAATCAGCAAATTCTTGACTTGTGATCTCTAGAAAACTAGTAAAATGTCAACCCCTCTTTGGAATAATTCATTACCCCTTGTCATAATTTTGCAATCTCCGCTGGTAAAAAATTTTTAATCTGAGCGTGCATTATATACAGGAAAAAAATAAATAGAACTGTTGTCCAAATTCTGTTTCCTATTGAACTTCACACTCTGTTACACATTTTTTTGTGGTTTAGATATCTCTGTTTGAATGTTTATTCTGGCCAGCCTCTGTACTACTGGATTTCTAGAATGATTATATAAAAATCTCTAAAATAAATAATGGTCTGTTAAGGTAAGTCCATATAAACCAGTTACACATAGGGCCATTTCTTGTTTTGTTTTGTTTTGATTTTCTTAAAACAGTTGTATGAATGATTGACCTAATTTATTATCATGACATATATTTAAAGTGAAAGCAGTTCTAGGAGCAAGTATGTCAAACATGTTGTTTATTGTAACAGAAAGGCTATATTTTGTTCCAGGATAATGTGGCTTTGGTATTGTTGCTATTTTTTTTCTTCCTGATTTTTATTTGTTCACCAGTTTTGTTTTTTTAGCTCACCTGACCACGAAGTGGTCATGGTGAGGTATAGTGATGGGGCTATGTCCGGCGTCCGTCGTCGTGCGTCGTGCGTCGTGCGTCGTTCGTCGTCAACAATTGGGTTGTTAACAGTCTAGCAGTCACAGTTTTGATTGGATCATCATCAAACTTTGTCAGAATGTTTGTCTCAATGAAATACAGATCGAGTTCGAAGATGGGTTATCTCGGGTCAAAAACTAGGTCATGGGAGCTAAAAATAGAAAAAGCTTGTTAACACTCTAGAGGCTGCAGTTTTCATACAAATATTCTGGAAATTTGTCAGGAAGGTTTTTTTAATGATATCTAGGTCAAGTTCGAAGATGGGTCATCTCCGGTCAAAAACTAGGTCACGAGCTAAAAATAGAAAAAGCTTGTTAACACTCTAACAATTGGGTTTGTTAACAGTCTAGCAGTCACAGTTTTGATTGGATCATCATCAAACTTTGTCAGAATGTTTTGTCTCAATGAAAATACAGATCGAGTTCGAAGATGGGTTATCTCGGGTCAAAAACTAGGTCACAGGAGCTAAAAATAGAAAAAGCTTGTTAACACTCTAGAGGCTGCAGTTTTCATCCAAATATTCTGGAAATTTGTCAGGAAGGTTGTTTTGATGATATCTAGGTCAAGTTCGAAAGATGGGTCATCTCTGGTCAAAAAAAACTAGGTCACGAGCTAAAAATAGAAAAAGCTTGTTAACACTCTAATAATTGGGTTGTTAACAGTCTAGCAGTCACAGTTTTTGATTGGATCATCATCAAACTTTGTCAGAATGTTTGTCTCAATGAAATACAGATCGAGTTCGAAGATGGGTTATCTCGGGTCAAAAACTAGGTCATGGGAGCTAAAAATAGAAAAAGCTTGTTAACACTCTAGAGGCTGCAGTTTTCATACAAATATTCTGGAAATTTGTCAGGAAGGTTGTTTTAATGATATCTAGGTCAAGTTCGAAGATGGGTCATCTCCCGGTCAAAAAACTAGGTCACAGGAGTTAAAAATAGAAAAAGCTTGTTAACACTCTAGTGGCTGCAGTTTTTCATCCAAATATTTTGGAAATTTGTCAGGAAAGTTGTTTTGATGATATCTAGGTCAAGTTCGAAGATGGGTCATCTTCGGTCAAAAAACTTAGGTCACAGGAGCTAAAAAATAGAAAAAGCTTGTTAACACTCTAGTGGCCGCAGTTTTCATCCAAATATTCTGAAATTTGTCAGGAAAGTTGTTTTGATGGTTTCTAGGTCAAGTTCAAAAGAATGGGTCATCTCTGGTCAAAAACTAGGTCACACAGGAGCTAAAAATAGAAAAAGCTGTTAACACACTATAGGCTGCAGTTTTCATCCAAATATTCTGGAAATTTGTCAGGAAGGGTTGTTTAGATGATATCTAGGTCAAGTTTTGAAGATGGATCATTGTCTGGTCAAAAACTAGGTCACAGGAGCTAAAAATAGAAAAGCTTGTTAACACTCTAGTGGCTGCAATTTCATCCAAATATTTTGGAAATTTGTCAGGAAGGTTGTTTTTGATTTTATCTAGGTCAAGTTCGAAGATGGGTCATGTCTGGTCAAAAACTAGGTCACAGGAGCTAAAAATAGAAAAAGCTTGTTAACACTCCATAGGCTGCAGTTTTCATCCAAAATATTCTTGGAAATTTGTCAGGAAGGTTGTTTAGATGCTATCTAGGTCAAGTTTAAAGATGGATCATGTCTGGTCAAAAACTAGGTCACAGGAGCTAAAAATAGAAAAAGCTTGTTAACACTCTAGTGGCTGCAGTTTTTCATCCAAATATTTCTGGAAATTTGTCAGGAAGGTTGCTTAGATAATATCTAGGTCAAGTTCGAAGATGGGTCATCTCCGGTCAAAAAACTAGGTCACAGGAGCTTTTAAAATAGAAAAAGTTTGTTAAACACTCTAGTGGCTGCAGTTTTCATCCAAATATTCTTGAAATTTGTCAGGAAGGTTGTTTTGATGATATCTAGGTCAAGTTGGAAGATGGGTAATGTCCGGTCAAAAACTAGGTCACAGGAGCTAAAAATAGAAAAGCTTGTTAACACTCTATTGGCTGCAGTTCTCATCCAAATATTCTGGAAATTTGTCAGGAAGGTTTTTTGATGATATCTAGGTCAGTTGGAAGATGGGTCATGTCCCGGTCAAAAACTAGGTCACAGGTGCTAAAAATAGAAAAAAAAGCTTGTTAACACTCTAGTGGCTGCAGTTTTCATCCAAATATTTTGGAAATTTGTCAGGAAGTTGTTTTGATGATTTTCAGGTCAAGTTCGAAAGATGGGTTATCACCGGTCAAAAAATCTAGGTCACAGGAGCTAAAAATAGAAAAAGCTTGTTAACACTCTAGTGGCTGCAGTTTTTTTGATTTAAAATATTCTGGAAAATTTGTCAGGAAGGTTGTTTTAATGATTTCTAGGTCAAGTTCGAAGATGGGTCATGTCTGGTCAAAAAACTAGGTCACAGGAGCTAAAAAATAGAAAAAGCTTGTTAACACTCTAATGGTTGCAGTTTTTCATCCAAACATTCTGGAAATTTGTCAGAAAAATTTTGTTTTTGATGATTTTCTAGGTCAAGTTCGAAGATGGGTCATCTCAGGTCAAAAACTAGGTCACAGGAGCTAAAAATAGAAAAAGCTTGTTAACACTCTAATGGCTGCAGTTTTCAATCTAAATGTTCTGGAAATTTGTCAAGAAGGTTGTTTTGATGATATCTAAGTCAAGTTCGAAGATGGGTCATCTCCGGTCAAAAAACTAGGTCACAGGAGCTAAAAATAGAAAAGCTTGTTAACACATTAGGGGCTGCAGTTTTCATCCAAATATTCTTGAAATTTGTCAGGAAGGTTGTTTTGATGATGTCTAGGTCAAGTTCGAAGATGGGTTATCTCCGGTCAAAAACTAGGTCACAGGAGCTAAACATAGAAAAAGCTTGTTAACACTCTAGTGGCTGCAAGTATTGATTTCAAATATTCTGGAAATTTGTCAGGAAGGTTGTTTTGATGATTTCTAGGTCAAGTTCGAAGATGGGCCATCTCAGGTCAAAAACTAGGTCACAGGAGTTAAAAATAGAAAAAGCTTTGTTTACACTCTAGTGGCTGCAAGTTTTTATTCAAATATTCAGGAAATTTGTCAAAAGAATGTTGTTTTTGAATGTTTTCTGGGTCAAGTGCTTAGATTGGTCATGTCTGGTCAAAAACTAGGTCACAGGAGCTAAAAATAGAAAAATCTTTTTAACACTCTAGTGGCTGCAGTTTTGATCCAAAAATTCCTGGAAATTGGGTCAGGAAGGTTGTTTTGATGATTTCTAGGTCAAGTTTGAATATGGGTCGTGTCCAGTCAAAAATTAGGTCACATTGCCCAAATATGGAAAAATCTTTATAACACACTAGAGGTCACATGTTTGACTCAGTCGCATCAAACTTGGTCATGATGCTTGTTTAAGACATTGCTTGAATGCGGTTGTGTCAGGTGAGCGATCCAGGGCCATCATGGCCCTCTTGTTTAAATCAATTTTCAGTGTATGCTGCATGACCTTTTGCAGTTTTTTCTTAAGATTGTGTATATTGTATATCACCATTTATTCCATGATGTTGTCTATGATTTGTTATATAGTAACAAAGTACCTTTTTCATGCATAAACATCTGCAGAAGTCTTAGTACTAAATCAAAACTGAAGGGCAATTTACATTCCACATAGTCTGGAGAAATTTGCAGATATTTTAATGTATAAAACAAAAGGTGCATTGCTTGAATTTAGCCTTGTGTATGGATGACATTTTCATTTTAAGAAAACATGCATTTTCTTAGGAACCACTATAGGGACTTATTTGCACCATGCATGTCCATATTGGATTAAAAATCATATACCTTATGTATTAAAGTTTTCAGGTCTCAGGTTTTTTTACTGATTAAAGGAAGTGTCTAAAAAAATTTTAACAAATTTTTGGACAGCTTAAAGGAATTAAATTTCCTATTTCCATAAAAGGGGAACCCTTCCCCGTTATATATCTGCTCATTAAATTGTTTTTTTATTTGGGTTAAAATTTTTGTTAGTTTTAATAAATTTATTAAAATTTATTCTCTTTATACGTTTATAACTTTGTTTGTAGCTGAGAGTCAAAATAGACCAGATAGTGAGACAGGAGGTACATCTAAATCTATAGCTGTCCGTCTGTGTGTCTGATCATTTGTCTGTTCTAATCTAGATGTCTTCTTCTTGCCTGTATTTCTGTCTAGTAATCTTATTTTTTTAAGTAACTAAAAATGACTAAAATTTGGGTATAAGGGTCAGCTTCTGCTAGATCTAAAAAATATAAGCATTGATCAACTGTCCATGTTTCTGTCTGTACATCTGTCTGTCTGTATGTCTGTCTGTCTGAAATATTAGCCCATATTTCTGTCTGAAATATTAGAAATGATCAAGTGTCCATGTTTCTGTCTGTATGTCTGTCTGTCTGAAATATTAGCCCATATTTCAGTCTGAAATATTAGCATTGATCAAGTGTCCATGTTTCTGTCTGTATGTCTGTCTGTCAGCTTAGTTTTGATTTCGTTCAATATAGCGGCTTCGCTTTGTGATGCTTACAGCTATACAGTTGATGAATAGAAAAGATAATTTGATAGGATTATTGAGAAAATTTAATTTAAAAAAAAAAAAAATATATATATATATATATATATATATATATATATATATATATATATATATTATATATATATATATATATATATATATATATAAATGTGTAACTTATAACACATAAACATATAAAAGCTTTTTTGCATTTTTAAAAATCTTCAAGAATGATACTACATGACTTTATTGACATGATCTTTATTACATCAACTCTTGTCATTGATTCTTCTATATAAACCAGTCTTATAATGTTGTTTATCAAAAACTTGAATAATTAAACAATTATTATAACAGCACTATTTGATTATAGATTATTACATGAAAATTATGTTTATTATGCAGGTGTATTAGATTTTGAATTTTATTAGTGATATTTAATTTCAGTGCTTTCATGTACATTTATACCAGTACCATGGCCGCTGTGTAATACATAAATATGCTGTGTATTGATTTTTGTGTCGCCTCTACGGAGTAGTGGCGACATATAGGGATCTCTTCTCCGTCGTCTGTCTGTCTGTCTGTCTGTCCGTCCGTCCGTCACAAAACTTGTCCGGACTACTCCTCATAAACTACTGGTGCAATTTCATCCAAACTTTACAGGAATGATCAGTACCAAGTCTAGTTGTGCATATTGTCAGCATTTTCCGGTTCAATGATTTTTGTCAGAGTTATGGCCCTTTAATAATTTTTAATTTTAAAGTTTGTCCGGACTACTTCTCTTATACCACTAATGCAATTTCAATGAAACTTCACAGGATTGATCTGTAGCTCAAGTCCTTGCGCATATTGCACGGGTTTTCCGGTTGAATGATTTTTGGCCGGGTTATGGCCCTTTGATAAAAACGTTTCTTTTTCTGTGTGTTGCCAGATACACAAAAGCTTGTCCGGACTACTCCTGATAAACTACTGGTGCAATTTCATGCAAACTTTACAGGAATGATCAGTACCAAGTCTAGTTGTGCATATTGTAAGCATTTTCCGGTTCAATGATTTTTGTTTGAGTTATGGCCCTTTATTAATTTTTAATTTTAAAGTTTGTCCGGACTAATTCTCTTATACCACTAATGCAATTTCAATGAAACTTTACAAGATTGATCTGTAGCTCAAGTCCTTGCGCATATTGCACGGTTTTCCGGTTGAATGATTTTTGGCCGAGTTATGGCCCTTTGATAAAAAGGTGTTTTTTTCTGTGTTTTGCCAGATACGCAAAAGCTTGTCCGGACTACTCCTCATAAACTACTGGTGCAATTTTATCCAAACTTTACAGGAATGATCAGTACCAAGTCTAGTTGTGCACTGTCCGTCTGTCTGTCCGTCTGTCACAAAATTTGTCCCAACATGAAATTGGCCATCATGAGGCGACACATGTGATTACTGATCGCTCTTGTTCTATATGAGTATACATATATTTGTTATTGATTTTTTTATGTATTACATGTATAGATGTGCTGTGGTTATCATGTATTGACAAATATGCTTGAATTGTCATGTTATACCTATACTGTAGTTGTGAATGCTTTCCTATGTACACTGTTTGCTAGATATTTTTTGTTATAAAAGTCCAGAAATGTTTTGCTTTGGTTCTTTTCTAAGATATATTGTTTTGTTTTATTGACAAAATGTGCAGCTTATTTGTGCTATGAAAATGCCTGTTTTTATTTCTTATTAATCTTCTTACTTCAGGTTTTACTTGATATATTGATACTTTACATCTGTTTTATTTCTTTATAGAGGATTTAAATACACTATCAAATCTGTTTTTTTAAAGAACGTCTCTAAAAAATAACCATAATTTTAAGCAAAAGACCATCTCCTAAGAACATGTATAGTGATATTTTTTTAAAATAAAAACCTTATCACTTAATGACAATAACTTTATTTCCAATTGAAAAAGGGTGATTATGTTATTATTTATTATTAATTATGTTAATTGATAATCATTTGTTTACTGTTAATTGATAATTTTTTTTAACTGGTCATTTTTTCGTTTTCATTGATTAAAGGTCTTTTTTTCTACTCCTTAGACTAACTTTCCCTTTTTAGATTTCAGTTTATATTAGAAAAAGGTTATTATCTAATTCTTTTTAGTAGTGAATCTGAATTTCCGTTTTGGATTATATTATAATATTTTTCGACATAGAATATATATTTTAGTGATACAATGATTTTTATAGGAAATGACCTGTCACAATACTGATGTTATGTTTGAAATATAATACAAGAGTTGAAAAGATGGGGATACATAATCCGAGAATCTTTTTTATATTACAGCGAGCACATGGTCCAGATTGAAGCCAAACAGCCGTGGTAAGGAATATGGTGGACTGAAGTGGGAACGAGTGAAGGTAAATGACTAGTGTGCCTTGCCAAATTGCTGCAAAGAAATTAAATATTTGATAGTCATCTCAAGTTTGCATGTTCAAACCCCTGGGGTGTGTTTTAGCGACAATGTTGATTAAATACATTATATACTGAGCAGTATTGCCAACAGCCTTCATTTTTTTTTCGCTATAGAATATTTTTTAGGAAATGTCTTATTCTATTAAATTACAATACCAATGTTTAAACTCTTTTGGCATATGAAAACATGGTAAAAGTAAAGTATTTGAAGTTAATTTGGTTGACTGTGCCAGTTAAATATTGACTTACCTGTTTGTCTGTTAATCATTTTTGTAGAAAAAAGTAACAGTATTCTCATAAAATAGAGAATGTTCCTTGAAGGAAACTTCCGGAAACTTGTAACTCAGAATATTCATTGTTTTATAGACATTTTCTTAAGAAAGAAGACTTTGACAGGAAAGAAAGGCTATGCAAATTTTAAGAGATTTTATCTTAAAAGTTAAGATGTATCAGTTTCTGTACTTGCTGTTTCAGACAATAGTGCATGTATCGTTGGTTTCTAAAAGAGCGGAGGAAAGAAGAGATGCAGCTAAACATCTTGGTCTACTACGATGTGGTGATGCTATGGTGTTCTTTGCTCTCAAGGAGAGGCTGAGGGTAGATGAAGATTCTAGAGTGAAATATGAAGCTGCAAAGTCACTCATTCTATTAGGTAAATAGAGGATAATAAGATGAAAATAAATCCAATATTTATAAAAAAAACAAAAACTTGTTATTCTATACTTGAAAAAGTTTATTTTATAGCATTCTGGTCAGATAATTCTTCATATGAACCTTCTCTTTATTCATAATTTTACTCTGACCCCCTTGTGGCTGAGGAGTTGCCTTTAAGAGTTGAGGCTTCAGAATTGCAGCCACAGTTTATCCCTGCATGATTTTAAGAATTGACTTAATGGGTTTTGAATTACTGTAGTCCATGCATCTCATAGCTCCAGCAGGTGAGATAGTTTTGACCCCTGGTGTTGCTTTATGTTTGTAACACTGGAGGTTAGCCAAATTCATCTTTCCTGTTTCAGCCCATATTTACTCTGAAGACCACTGTCATTTTGTTTCTTAATAAGAAAAATGTACTAGCAGACATTGGAACTAATCATAAAAAAACCCAAAAACATATTAAACTACAATTTATATCAATATTCCTATGCAAACAGCCATTTTCTCTTTACTTCTGTCATAGCAGTTGATTATGCTGTGTGGCACCTATAAGCATTTTTTTCTGTTGTTAGTAAAAAAAATCTCCCCATACATTAAATTTCTGTATTATGTTTTATATTACAGGATGCTGGGATGAAGATGTGTTACAAGTGGTGTTAAAGTATATCGTCATTGGCAACGCAGAGATACGTCAAGACCTTATTCTGAACATGATAGATGGAAAAAATGTTCAGTATGTTAACAAGGTAATTTCTCTTTCATTTTTGCATGTTTAATGCAATGCATTTTGGGTGTAAATGACTGGTCATTTCTGTGATTTTATCTTGCTAGTAACTACTGGAGGTTCTGTTCTGTGTATTGGTTGAGTCATTAGTGGGCACCTGAATAGAACACCTTGAATTTGCAAAGTTTTTACATGACCTTGAAAGTGGTTGGCTGTGCAACTTATAACTAACACTCTAAACGATCTTTAGATAAAACTGGATAATATTTATTGGTGAAAAGTCTATAGATAAAAGATTGCCAGTTTTAAGCAAGTGCATTTTCATCAATAATTTGCTTTTAGGTAGATTCTCATCATAAACAAATGTTGATTAAAATATTTAATGCGAAAATGTTATCATTTACTTTAAAAGCCAGAAATATTTTTTTTTTCCATTTTGTTATTAAATAATTCTAGTTTTTGATATCAATATAAATGTAGATTAACTTTCAGTTTTATAGTTTAAAGAAAGTGTTCCTATTTTATAATCACTTTTGTTATTTTACAGAAAATCCCAACATTTCCAGAGTTGGTGAAAGTTTTGAGTCATTTTTGTTGCAACCCCGACCCTGATGACTCTATAGCATTTGATGCAGCTGTGTTGCTAGGCAAACTCTGTGTCATGGATGAGAATGCTAAATTCAAGCTTCTAAGATCCCTGGAACACAGTACTGATACGCATATAAAGGCAAAGGTAAATAAAAACTTGGGTAGTTGTTGTCTTTGTGACCATTTGCTACATTATGATATTTAATGTTTAACTTTACAGCTAGAATATTTAACCATTTGCTTTTTAGAACATTCTAGAAGTAATTTGTTCCTAAAATTTTCAATTTTCCAAAACAGAATTGCATCAATATTAAATAAACATGTATTTTGTGTTTTTGGTTTGATAGGCTTTAGAAGTGTTGGTGAAGCAGTTGAACTGTACAAGTTGGGATGTTGTTCAGCACTTGTTGACATTGTTCCAGAAGTCTCCAGTATGGAAATATAGGGCCCTAGCTGCTGATCTACTCATTGTTCTTGGTAATATTTTAATATATTTGTATATTTATAAATTTAGTGAAACAGATCTGAACTTTGACATGATGTAATCAGGCCTATTCCAAGTCATTTTGGGAAAAAGAACCTAGTCCAGTTTGGAAAATTTTGTGTTGTAAAATTGTGTAATTGGAGAAAATATTTGGTACCATTAAAAACCTCTTTCATGCCCTTTTGGCATAGTACATGTGTATTTTGAATTGTGCATTATTGTTTATTCCAACCTATGCAAATATCATTCAAAGCATAAAAAAATCCATGTACATTAAAATTTGACATTGAAATGTGTGGAAACATCTCTTTGATACCATACTGGAAAGAACTCCAGCAAATTTGTCAGTTTGGATGTCAAGAATTTCATTTGGATTGGTATTATTTTTGTGAAGATTGGGAAAAAATAAGCATATTTGACATGGGAATGGGCCTGGTAACCTGATCCATGGTGACACTGGGAAAAGGCATGATAATCATGATCTTTGTACCATGATAACATGACATATTTAAACCATGATATTTATATGGCATGATTAAATGTCTATGACATGATATAACCATAACATAATTTTTGAACATTACATAACTATGACATGAAATCTATGACTTGATGCCAACATGACTCAATGACTATGATATCATGTAACCTTGATGTGATTTGACTATGACATATCTGGTAAAAGACCAAATATGACGTTTCTACTTTAATTACACCATGACATACTTGATCTGAAATTGTTTGAACCATACGATCATAATATGATCATAATATAAAAGCATGATTAATTAAGGTTATGCCCTGCCAATCAAAGACAAAAATGTATGTTCCAAATATAAAATAATGCTGATATTTTGTTTAGATTACTTTTTCTAAATTTCAAGTCTTTCTTAGTTAAAAAAACTTCATTCTTTCTTTATTTTAAGTTGTAATTATTCCTTTAGTTAAAAATGATGATCACATAATGAAATATATTTTAGGTAAGGATAATGTTTGTAAGAGAGGTGAAGAGGAGAAGATTTATCATATTCTAGAAAGGAAACTATGGGATGATCCTAATAAGGTAAGTTGAATAAGATGTTAGTTAGACCTATCTGATGCCAGAATTCATTTTTTTGCTTCCTGGCTTCCTGATGGAACTTGTTTAGGAGTGTGTTATATCCCTGTTTGTCTTTCTGTCCATCCATCAAAATACATGTAAACCAACTACCTTGAATTTTCCAAGTTTATCACACAAAAGTAGCTGTAGAAATCACACACCTGATTTTAATCTAAGCACTGTTGGTGCTAAAGGTTTGCATTGAGTTAGTTGTGAGGCATATAAATGTTAACATGAAATAAGTGAGTCAAAAAATAGTTAATATATCATAATAAAGTTTTTATAAAAATTTTGTACATTATAACAAATGTGACAATGTTATTTTATATTACAGGATGTGAGAGTATCTGCAGCCAAGGCTCTCGCTGCATTAGGAATGTTTGGAAAGGCATGTGAACGAATTGAAAAGTAAGTTATACATTCTCAATTTGCTTTGAAGCAACTTTGTTTATTACTTGTATAAGATAGTTAATCTTTAATATACTTCCTGGTCTATTTTATAGGATAAGTGATGTAACATTTTGACATCAACAGATTTAGAATCATGCAATATATATTGTAAAGAATGATTTAGTACAAACATGACTATTTTGTTAAGTGTTGGGAGTTAGCATAGGACTGAAAACAATTGTTTTAAATTTAGCAGTAGTTTTTGTGCATTTCTGTGCTAACAATATTTCCTCTATTAAAACCTTTACTTTCAGATTTTTCTCTCTGTTGTCCACATGAAAATTTAATGCAAATGTGCTCATACAAATTATATGCTTAATGTCAATCATTCAATCAAAACATTCAACCTGAAGCATTCATCTTCAAAATTAAGTAAATAAATTTTAGAAAATGATTTTAGAACAGGAAATGCATTTTACAAACAAAACAGATGTTATAAAATAATGAGCAAAAAATTTTTTTTACACATGTAGTATATTCCATATTTCAGGAGATTAGAGGACACGGATGAGGATATCAGAGCTCAGGCAGTCATTTCTGTGGTGAGTAAAATAATAGTCTTTTATTGACAATATTAAACATACAGTAGTTGTTTATAGACCATATTACAATAGGAGATATTCTAATATTAAATTTAATGAATTGATTTAGTAATTCATTAATATACACAACAATTACAAAGGAAATGATTTTTTTTTTTTTTTTTTTTTATTTTTTGTTTTTTGTTTTTGTTTTTGTTATTGTTTTTAACATAGAAAAACTATCAAACTGTTTTTCTTATTGGGAAATTTTAAGGTTGATATAATTATTAAAATTATCAAAGATGAAAATATCTTCAGCAATAAAGCTTGCAGGGGAACAGGTAAGTTCTTTCTCTGAAGGGTGATTTTCTTTAATACAACAATAATAAAGTTTGGGAAAATTCTTATTTTCAGGGGACATTGGAGATGAAGAATGAGAAGATTATACGACTATTGTTGGAGATGTTAGAACTTGATGCCAGTGAATATGTCCGCCTGATGGTAACATGACAATTTCTATCCTCTCCCCATTTCTTTATTCTATTATTCTTATCTCTTTTTCTTGTCTATTCATTCCTTCTCAATTTTTATCATGTTGTCTTTTATTATGTTCTTCTTATGTTGTCTTATTTCCTTTTTTCCTTTTTTGTTGTTTTTCTTTTATTTACACTGCTATAAATTTCTCCTTACCTTTCTCAGAAATTTACATTAAATGGTATTTTTCAAATACTGTGGTAAATGCAAATTCATATATGATTTCTAATAAGTGACGAGATAAAAGTCTATGTAGAAAGAAATAAGATTGTCTCTTTCAAATGATCAAAATACAAATGTAAAAGGATCATCTTATCATATGTTAAAGATATACTATGCTCATCCCTGAATAAAAGAGGTCAAGTAAAGTTAGTCTTTTCTTAAAAAACTGCCAGTTTTATTATTGACACTATATACATTTATTCATCTTGTGACCAAATATATTTTGTAGAATTTTAAACATGACATATCTACTTTTTGTGAAGTCAAACATGTTTATTTTATATTTACAAAGAGACTTTGTAGCAATTATTAATATTTTCTATTATCAAACTTGAGCATAGTACATCTTCAATCTAATTAAACTATTTTAATGATATATTTGTTTTACAGATTGCAAGAACATTCACAGTGCTAAAACTTGCAGATAAGAGGGTTTTGAGAGCCCTCAGAGAGAGGGACAAAGTGGAAGGTGCCCTGGCCAGGTAAAATCTTATATCTACTTCTTTACACCTTACTGTTGAGGTATCAAAGTTGCTACATGATTTTTATATTTTTGGTTAATTTATTTTGCACATGTATTAAATTAGAGAGCATAAAATCTTTTATTCATCTGTATCAGTGTTATTGAGATGTCCCTCCTTGAGTTCAGAACGCAGCCTATTAAAAAAAAAAAAATGAGGAATTTCAATATCAATATGATAAAATTGAGCATGCAACAATATAGTTAGACAATGTTAAAGTGCAGATGTACTTTTATAATGATAACATAGACAAATCATCCCTAGCTGCTAGGAATACATGTACCAGTGTAAATAGTAAACAATTTAAAAAGTTCAGTGAATTTTATGCTACAAATATTGTTCTCTTTGGTAACAAACCCTATGATGAACACCACAAAATTGAATTATTATGTATTTTGTATGTAAAAATTATATCAGTCTTTTGGTTGGTTCCATAGAATAGAATGGACAAGACGTAACCTAGGATAGGGGGATTATTTATATGAGTGGATAACTTTATGATACATAAAACCTGTAGCAACTTTGTAATCTGTTGTGTTAATATTTTGAATTTTAAATCAAGTTTTTGGTTGTTGTTTGTTTTTTTGCCTTTTGTTGTAACCTGACCATGGTAATAGGCTAACATTGTCACAGAATTTGTTATCATTCCCGGAGTGTGCCTAACTTTTTTTTCCACCAGTGTGACATAATTAATAAGAAATTTATTTCAGTTGACGTGAAATTTTATTTTCAGTTTGGAAAAAGAAACAATTTCTAGTTCTTGTTTACTTTTCTTCATGGAGAATAGTTTGTTTAATATTTATTCAATTAATTAGTTGTATGATTTCACATAACATGTATTTTTAATGGAACATTTTGAAATAGAATCAAATAACCCTAACCCTCCCTGGTGGCGACAGACCAGTGAAGAGCAAGATAAGGCCTGCACATCTGTGATATCTTGTCATGGTCTGCACAGTGTTTGATATTTGGTCAGTAATACTGATATTCATCAATTGAGGGAACATTTTAAAATATATACTGACTCAGAACATATTTTGAAATTTTCCCTAAATTGATGAATGTTGTTGGACTAATCCATATAAGGTTACATGTAGTGTGGTATAAGGGTGAAACAAAATATTACTTACTATATGTATATATTATTCAGTTTTTTACCACTTGATATTACTTGATTTAATTTAAACACTTTTATGTCTGTATATACTCTAAAGATTTGTCGTTTGAAAATATTTTATAATTTTGTTTTAGCATCTATTGAAAACTATGATTTATTGCAAGACCTGGTCAAGGCCTTTTTATTAGTGGTAACTTCTTTATTAATTCAGGATTATTTTATAAAATACTAGGGAATAAAAAGATTATAGTGATAAACTTATTAGTTATCAAATAAATGTAACTGTTAATTTTGTATATAAAAGAACGTCTTTGAAAAAGGTAAAAGTCTCCCTATGAAACACAAAATTCATTTCTCTGTCAATAATAATCTATATATATCATCTGCCGACCTATTTCTTTAATTGTTTCATCATTTATTGATGTAAAATTTCTTTTTACACACTGTCAGTATACATTCACCATATTTCTATATTTAGAAAATTAATGCTTTCTGTCTTTTTCTGGGATGATAGTTTAAACAAATTCTGTATTAACAGTGATTTATTTAATAATGTAATGATCTCAAATAAGATGAACTTTCTTTTATTCTCATATTTCCTCCTATCTAAAAAATACTGGTTCTACTGCAGTCTATTAACAATATGAGAAGTTCTTATGAAAACATGTGTCCTGTCTATCTTTGTTGCTACCAAAGTGGCATCTTATGTCCTATACTTAATGAGTTACCAAACAGTGTAATGTTGAATCAGCAGATAAGGTATATGATAATGTTGGCATTCAAGACTTTATTTCATCATTATCAAAATTTGTTATCTTGGTTGGGTATAGTCAGTTTAATGTTGCAGCGCTACTCTCAGTGACTTGTACTGCAGTATGCATTTTATGATAATCTTTTAAAGGTTTTCATGAAAGGTTTATTCAGCTTTCCTATTTTTGCCATTTAGATATTGACCTAAAGATTTTTTTATCATTTTGGAGACACAGATAGCAAGGTCCACACTTATTTCATCAATGGTTAGAAGTGAAATTTTTTACAGCACTAGGATTTGATTTGAATGTAAAAGTATTCCAGTTTCTTGATCATCACTGTCTGTAACAAGTTTTTTGTTTGTTTCGTTTTTTCATTGACTTCTCTCAAAATGATCAAAATTATTTGTATCAAACTTGATTTTTAAAGATCCCTAACCATTTTTATAAGGAAATTCATATTACATAAGATATACATTGTAATTGCCATCACTCAAAATTTCTAAGCATGGGGTGAAATGCATCAATATCATTTTACCATATGTGCCTCTTTTAAGTAGCATAATTTATATAAATAAGTGTGGACTTACAGTGAAATCCTCTGCTGTGATTAAATGTTGAATTTTTTAATTAATGTTTGGTATTGTATGGTTAAAGGTTGCAATTGAGAGATCTAACAAAGGTTTGAGTGTGAAATCCCAAATAATAGAGCATGTTTACCTGTACATACCATTCTAGACTACTTCATACACATTTACAAACCTTTATAATTAAGTCATAGTTGTAAAGCCTTTCATATGAAATGCAGGTAAAAACTTTATTAAACAGCCTGTACAGGATAATGAATGAGCATTTCTTACTTTTAAATGATACTTAATATCAGATTCCACTCAACCACTGAAAAGCTTTGGTTAAAATCGTAAATTTCGTAATTTGTAAATGGAAATAGAAAATGCTAATAACTTTTAAATGGTTGATTGCTAGCAGTGATTTATTGACCTGGTAATTTAACTTTTAATAAATCAAAACAAAAAACAAAGTAAACATATTCTTGTATTAGAGAAATGATGTTTGTAGATGTGTATGGGGAATGTTTGATACCTGTATCTGGATGCATGTTACCTGTATTTATTCTAGGCTGCACGTGTGTGAGAGCACCTGTCAGGAGACACAGCATATTACCCTACCTTCATCACTTCCCAAACTACCTCATACCTTACAAGCAAAGTGTAAACTTTTATTATATCAAATACTTTCAGCTCAACATAGACTTATCACTCTAAAAATCACTGTAAAAAATAAATTAATGAGCACTTTAAAAAAATAGAGCAAAAACTAACCTTGTATTTATACCCCCGCACAACAAAGTTGTAAGGGGGGTATACTGGAATCAGGTTGTCCGTCCGTCCGTCCGTCCGGCTGTCCGGCCGTCCGTCCGTCGGTTTTTTCTTGTCCGCCCAATAACTTAAGATTCCTTTGACCCTTAGTCTTCATATTTGGCATGGAGGTTAGTCATGATTAGTAGATGACCCCTATTGATTTTGAGGTCACCAGGTCAAAGGTCAAGGTCACAGGGGCCTTGACTTCAAAAAGCTTGTCCGCCCAATAACTTAAGATTCCTTTGACCTTCAGTCTTTATATTTGGCATGGAGGTAAGTCATGATTAGTAAATGACCCCTATTGATTTTGAGGTCACCAGGTCAAAGGTCAAGGTCACAGAGGCCGTGACTTCAAAAAGCTTGTCCCGCTCAATAACTTAAGATTCCTTTGACCCACAGTCTTCATATTTGGCATGGAGGTTAGTCATGATTAGAAGATGACGCCTATTGGCTTTGAGGTCACCAGGTCAAAGGTCAAGGTCACAGGGGCCGTGACTTCAAAAAGCTTGTCCGCTCAATAACTTAAGATTCCTTTGACCCACAGTCTTCATATTTGGCATGGAGGTTAGTCATGATTAGTAGATTACCCCTATTGATTTTGAGGTCACTGGGTCAAAGGTCAAGGTCACAGGGGCTTTGACTAAAAAAGCTTGTCTGCCCAATAACTTAAGATTGCTTTGACCCACAGTCTTCATATTTGGCATGGAGGTTAGTCATGATTAGTAGATGACCCCTATTGACTTTGAGGTCACCAGGTCAAAGGTCAAGGTCATGGGGGCCTTGACCATAAAAAGCTTGTCTGTCCAATAACTTTAGATTCCTTTGACCCACAGTCTTCATATTTTGAATGGAGGTTAGTCATGATTAGTAGATGACCCCTTTTGATTTTGAGGTCACTGGATCAAAGGTCAAGGTCACAGGGACTTTGACTTCAAAAAGATTGTCCACCCATTAACTTAAGATTCCTTTGACCCACAGTCTTCATATTTGGCATGGATGTTGATCATGACCATAAGGTGACCCCTATTGATTTTGAGGTCACTGGGTCAAAGGTCAAGGTCACAGGGACCTTGACAAAAAAAAGCTTTTCTTCTCAATTGCTAAAGAATGCCTGTCCGCAGTGTATTGATTTTGACATTTTTACATTTGAAGCATGTATAATACATAACTTAGCAATGCACTGGCTTAGTAACCTCAGATTTGGCAGGGAGGTTGTCCTTGAGCTCTAAATGGCCACTGTTGATTCTGACAAAGTGGTATGCGGGGGTATTCACGCCATGATAGTGGCAGTTCAAGTTAGTATTAGCAGTTTTGTATTTAATGAAATGTTTAAAATTATACTGCTTCTATAGGATATTAAGGAAGACAGTTTTTGATACAAGATAATGTTGTCATCTTATTGTTATTACTCATTCAGATATACAGATCATATAATATTAAAATCACTGCACATCCTAGTTTCAAACAGTGCAGTATCAACTAGTAATGCACTCAAAATTAAAGTGAAAGTGATCAAAGCCTGAACAGATTTTGAATCTTGAAAAAAAAATACAGTGTTTTCACTAAAAGTGACTTGGTGTAATGGGGGAATTTAAGTAACTTGTAAGAGAACTTTGGCACTTTTTTGAAGGATTTATTGACAGGAATTTACAGTCATGTTGAGCTTGAAAAAGATACTATATTTAAGTATAACACATGTATACATGTACTTATTGCACACCTTTATTAGGATTTCTTCTTTTTTTACCTGATATTATGAAAGACACAATTATGTGATGTAGAAAGCACTTAGTACATGTACACTTTAATGGAAACATGTACTTAAACAGCTTTATTCCTGCTTGACCTTTTACTTAAAGACACAACCAAATAGATAATTGCATCACATTTATTCATCATCATTATATTCATCATCACCATCATTATCACCATCATCATTATTATTATCATCATCATCATTATTATTATTATCATCATCATCATCATCTTCATTATCATCATTATGAAAATATTGATCATATTTATTATTATTACCTAAAACAGCATCAACAACAACACCATAATAACCACATTTAATATATAAGTTTGACTGACTGATAATATTACCCTAAGGATAAAAGTAGATAATAGATGGAATGACCAGGGGTATAGCCAAGAATGTAGGTGTTGTAGAAACCTCTTGGCAATAATCAACTTATCTAAGACCATTTCGGGGTCACACCTATATGCATCTTTTTGATAGATATTTTTGAAAAAACTTATGTTTTATTAATTTTTACAATGAATACAAAGAAATAGTTCTTTTTTTAATTTACTAATGCCAATTATTTTGATTTTACAGTATTAATGTCATCCTTTTCCACACTAAGCATCAAATTTACTTTGAATCTGTTCAGTCTGAACCAAATCACATGCTGCGCTGGCTCTATTCTGGTGGCGGACACCTGCCATTTTTATTGCTGCTGAGTGTCACATGTTTATATTTCAGGACTTCATATCTGCACATATAAGCTATGATGTGTCATCATGATATAACAAATATAAATGAGCCGCGTCATGACAAAACCAACATAGTGCGTTTGCGACCAGCATTGATCCAGACCAGCCTGCTCATCCGTGCAGTCTGATCAGGATCCATGCTGTTCGCTATCAGTTTCTCTACTTGTAATAGAGTTGGTAAGCGAACAGCATGGATCCTGATCAGACTGCGCGGATCCATGGTCTGGATCCATGCTGGTCGCAAACCCATTATTTTGGTTTTGTCGTGACGCGGCTCAAATGTTATTTTTAAAATGCTTTCTATTTCACTGTTAACCTGTCTAAACTAACATAATGTGTCAAATAGTAGAAATAGTATTATGTAACTGTATGATCATGTATAATACTTTTACTAATTTTATTCCAGATTATTGAACAACCATTATGTTATAATTTAAGAATGAAACCTATTCAATTTGAATTAACTATTACTGTCAAATTAATTATCTTTAGGAAACCACAATATGTTCAGCCTGTCTGAACCTAAACTGCAAATTTGTAATTAAACAATTGGTTACTTTGAACATCTTTATTAATATTTTCCATATTTAGTTTGAAAGAATTAGAATATGATTGCATAATGAAGATATAGATATCTATATTGGATACAATCCACTGATACTAATGATAGAGATATATGCCCATCATAGGCATATTTTTTCTTAAAAAAAACCTAAGAGAGACTTCATCTATTGCCGAGACTATTGGAATTAAATTTGGTATACTGCCTTGTAAATTTTTCTATTATCAAAATACAGGTCAAGTAAACTTTTTGTTACATCTTGCAATTCACTGATTTTTCAGTTACATATGCAACTGTGATAGACAAATTCTTTATGAATGTACTAAACTGTTACAAAGATTAACTGATTGGAAATCAAATTTTCTAATGATCGCAAAAATATTTTAACTACAGTTCAAGTTTAACTATTGCTGCAAAAAAATCTGATTTGTATATTACTACTGCCTTTGGGCTTTTATTTGCCTGCATAATCGGGGCTCTTTATTTCATTAATCAATTTATTTTCCCTGTAAAACTGGAATATTAACATTTTAGTGAATAGATTTGATACAGTTTTACTCATGACTGCATAATTTTTATGAATACACAGGTTATTTCCAAGATTTTTTTCTTAAATTATTCAATATCTTTGTATTAAACTGTTTAAATTTTTATCTTACAGAAATTTATATTTTTACGTTTATCACAAACAATTTAATTATAGTTCTTTAAATGCCTTGGTATTAAATCTCGATATATCTTTACAGAGAATCAAGGAAAGCGTTAAAAGTTCTGGAATCTTCGGTAGTTCAGGTCCGGCTTACGTCACCTACAGGCCGGAAGTCTATGGGTTCCCGCGCATCGGCTCGAGGGATAACACCGCGCTTCACTCCTGCAGTGACCGCATGAGATTACTGTCCCTTGTAGGATTCCAGTTACAGTAGATGAAGTGGTGGATTGAAATTTGCCGTGTGATTATCTAAGACAGAACACTAGTTCTCTATTGATAACTGTTGTGATACAGAGATTACTATTGTTTTAGCTTAAAACAAAAATTTATGAGCACAAAAAAGTTTCAGTGAGATGCATTAATACAGCAACCATGAGGCATTCAAAATTTAAGCATAAACATCAAAGCTATGTGCCTTCAGGATTAGTAAAACAACATTTAAGAAGAAAAATAATTAAGAAATGTGAAAACCCCCATTACTTTACAAAAAGTTTTGTAAGGCTGTATCTTTATAAATCTTCATTTGTATGTAATGATAGAGGCACTCTTACTTAAAACCTTTTTGAGATACAACCATAGAATGAAAACATATTATAGTTCCTGTATAGCATTTATATCAGTTATATATTTTCTGTATTGGTTATCCACTTTAACCTTGTGTACATGCTTATCCACTTTAACCTTGTGTACATGCTTATCCACTTTAACCTTGTGTACAGATTGGTAAATGAATTTGCCAAGCTTTGAATTTAATAGTCCAAAGTTTAAGAGATTTCATTATTAAAATACAAAAAGTATAAAACTTTAAGTCAGTCTGCACATGTTCAGCTGGCCAGTGGCACATACATTGTACTAAACTGGTGGCAAAGGTAAATCATTTTCTGTTCCAGCAGGTGGTGAAGCACATCTGTACTTATAAGGCTGATATATTAAAATAATTCTAGCTAGTGATAAATACAAGTTGCTAGATATTGTTTCATCATAAATCGAGCAAAAAATGGTGGCATGCCTGAATTGGTAACACGTCACTAGTAATCTAAGGATCACATTCCGTTAGTTCAAACACTTAGGGGCAAGCTGAAAAACGTTACACTCATTGCTCAGTACTGGTTTGTTCCAGGAATGGATTCGACAGTGTATCTATAAGCTTTTAGCTTCCTACAAAATCAAACAATCAAGCATAAAATAAGTGCCTCCATTTAAATATCAGGTAATACCATGCAATGATCATTATACATGTACTCGGAGCTTTATTCATAGCAGAGATGTTTTCATTCTGTTAATGTTAAAAGGGTATTTAATCCAGTATTAAATGTATTATGTACACTATAAACCAGTATTTTCAAAATGTTTTCATATTAAATCATTTTAATTATACGCTATTTAAGCATTTATTCAAAATATTTTGCATTTGTTTGTTGAAAAGTGACTGCATTTTCAGCTTTGAAAATACGATGTTACCTACATGTATTTAATTTTGAAAGTTTATTACTTGCTAAAGGATAAAGAATACAATGTATTTTGAAACATGTTCAAAATGTATGTTTATCATTTACATTAATTATATTGTATGTTGACAATAATAATGTAGTGTTTAACTAAAAAAAAGAAAAAAAAACAACAAAAAAACATTATTTTCGCAAAGTATTTTGATATCGTCCAAGGACCCTACATTTTTGCACAATATGATTTTTCTTTTTATTTGCACTCTATAATATGTTGTGACTTAATACTATTTGTTAATAAGCAGACTGAAAGCCTGACATTATGGCCATTTATTTCATCTGAAAATGAAAGAAAAAAAAAGAAAAAGTACCGGGTAATTGAAATAAAGAACCAATAGATCTATTTAAGATTTCAGAGACAGTAAAATTGTTTTAAGTTATAACATATACATGTATCTTAACACTTTTCCAAAATTATAAGTAACTCTGTTTGCCTTATTATATGTTTACTGATGTAATATTGTGATAATACAAAGAACCATATTGCTTTATAATGTGTTATCCTCCTTTGGTATACCCCTACTGTGATTTATTGTTTATTTTATATCTTTACATTAACTGTGATAATACTATTTCGATAATATAATTTATTTGTGATGTCTATTTGTTAAGTTTATACTATATTATGGAACTTATAAAGAATAAAGTGAATGTTTTGAAAAAGTTTGTTTTATTCATTTTTGAGACGGTTACAAGTCTGTACCAATAAAGTTGATCACTGAAAAGGAATACATGAAGACAAATTATGCTATGTTGTTTTTGATGATTTTAAGTCAAAAATAAATATGCTTTGTTTTTCTTGTTGATGATTCTCAACCTGTGTGTGTGTTTGGTGGTAGTTTTTGTAGTTCGCCTCTGAATCACAGCAGTAAGCACCCGTACGAAAAAGTATAATATATAAGGCGGATTCCGTCTAAAATTTTCTGAAAATCTACATTTTCCTGCTAGGTTAAGGCGGAGATGGAATTTCTAGCAAAGTCCGCCTAAGTTTCTGAAATTTCCGCCTAAAATCTCAAACAGATTCCGCCTAGAGCTTAGGTGAAAAATGATAAATGTAGTCTTAGGCGAAAAATTCCACTAATTCTCATTTCTTAGGCGTAATTTCCAACTTAATCAATTAGGAGTCTCATTTCTTAGGCGTAATTTCCGACTTAGTCATTTAAGGAAACCTGTGTTAAGCGGAAAACTAAATTTAAGCAGAATTTCTGACTTTGTTATTTTTCCTATTATTCTTAAATGGATGAGCAAGTTATTACAACTTGTATTAACTTACTCTTGATGACTGCTTCCTGGAGTTCTAACCAGTACTCGGGCCAAAGTTAGGGATTGTGAAAGTTGCGGCCAAATTCTGCTGACGGTTCATTCCAACCCAAGACCATAGAGTCTGACACTCTACCCAAACACCCCTTTTGTCTCCCTTTTTGCTGATGTAAGGGGCTGCTGACTATGCCTACAATGTTACAGGCAGAGCTGTATCAGTACTAAGGGTGTAGTACTTAAGTACCAGTATTTACCAAGTTATGCAGTACCTGACTACTAGTACTAGATTTGATAGCTCGGTATGGCTGTACCAGTACTTTTTTTAAGGAAGTAATTAAGAACCAGTACTTTTATAAATTCATCATATTTTGAATATACACACTGTCAAACAAAAATAACATATTATGTATATTTACATATTTTAATGATACATAATTTTTAAATAAGTATTTCCATGTACACTTCAAGAACATGCAAATATTATTCAGCAAAAAAAAAAATTGAATTATTATTTACTTTAAAAGTTAACATTACATTTTTACAACTTTTTTTACATTTCAATATACTTTTTACAAACAATATTTACAATTCATATTCATGTCATATCATTTTGTTTAGTAAACCAGCATACTTTAATGCAATGTTATCATCTTTCATTTAAAACAACAGTCTTTTGTTGCCTTTAACACCTTCACACCTCTGATAAAAAAATAATAAGTAAATAACAACTTTTTATGGTGTTAACAATATCACTTGAAGTAAGATTTTATTGAAAATAGAAGCAATTAATAAGTGTTTATCTTACTCTTTCTTTACTAATAGACATACGACATTTTTATCAAAACGAAAGAACTGCCTGGTAATGCAGTAGCAGTACCACCTTTTAATGCAGTACCAGTACCAGTAGTAGCAACATTTTGTAAGAGTAATTCAGTATCTTGAGTACCAGTGCTTGCAAAATCACTGCAGTATGTACAGTGTAACTTCTGAAAACCGAACACCCATGGGACTTGTCAAAAAGTTCGGATTTCAGAGGTTTCCGGAATTCAGAGGTTTATGATAATGTGGACAAGACTAAGCCACTAAATGTCAAGGAAAATGTGGCCATTACTGTAATATCATTTATAATATTCTTTTAATCAAGATAAAGATGTGAAGGAAAATAAAACATTGATATTTAACACTTTATTTAACTTACATATTGTCCGATGCTTGTTAATTAATTAGTACATCAAATGCAATAAAATCCCTAAAGACGTTTGAACCAATTAATTGTCATTTAATCCACTAATAAACACTTCAAATTAACTGACTGCCGTAAATTACTTTAATTGACCACATCACTTCACACATACCATTTCACAGTTTGTGATTTTAACGCGTGTCAAATTACACGATCACCGCTAATTAGTAAACAATCGACAGGGAGATTGAATCTTCCTGCAGGGTAAACATTCTCGATTTACAATGTATTTCACACCTTTAGATATTTCCGGATTTTGGAGGTAAAATTGCATTGATTTGGCTCTAATTTTACGAAAATATCGTCCGGAATTCAGAATTTAGAAGTTCCGGAATTCAGAAGTATTTTATTAATAGAAAATAGAAGGGAAACAATCGGGACCGAAAAAATTGTTCGGTTTTTAGAAGTTTCCGGATTTCAGAAGTTCCGGAATTCGGAAGTTACACTGTACTACGGTAACTGTGAGAAAAAATGTGCAGATAATTTGCTCTGAAGTTTTTCTGCAAAATATGTTGTTTTAGTGATATTATAGTAATAATTTTTATATCAAATGGAAATTTAAAAAATAGTGCATTAGATGGTGAAATATAATGAAAAATAAATAAAGATTTATGGAGATATTTGATAAAGAAAATTTTTTCTATTGTTTGAAATCATTTGCTTTTTGGATTATGTACATGGTGGTTAGACTTTTTTTTACCTGGATTTTTACCTGTAATTGTAAGGATAATGGATTAAGCTGGATTAAGCTGGACTATAATTTATCACATACAAAGGAATTCTAAGGATACAATTGGACAATAATAGATACTACACTTTGAATAGTTGTTTAACAGTAAACTTTGACAGCAAGGATAAGAATTGATAAAATGTCTAGTAAGGGTCAAGGATCAGGACAAGGGTCAAAGGACAACTCTACTGGTACAAAATTTAAAACATCAATGAAGGGGAACACAGGAAAACAACCTCCAGCTAAAAGAGCAATTTCAGAAGTGAGTAATGACAGCACATTAAGTAATGACAGCATGAATATGTCATTAATACAAAATCAGCTAGACTTAATGTCAGAAAATCTTGAAGAGCTTAAAGGAGACTTAAAAGGTATCATAAAAAAAGAAGACATAGAATCAATAATTTCAAGATCAATCACAAATGCCATGACCCAATTACAGCAAAAAATGGAAATCATTATAAAAAAAGAGATTCAAGAAAAAACTAAAGAGTTAAATGACAAAATAAGTTCACTTGAGTTTGAAAATAATCATTTGAAGGAAAGTCTGACAAAAACAAAGACAGAGACCGGAAAAAGGCTAAGCACAATAGA